GATCTTTGGGTTACAGGGTTTTGTCTGACATCAACGATGTTTCTGTAATGATGCCTACAGCTCTGGTTGGCACTGTCCTTCTTACTCTTCGCGGTCGCGGTGTCGGCAAAGGTGAGATGGTTCGGCGCGTCGAATGGCTATGTGAGCGTGTTCGAGCGAAAGGAGGACGGGTTGCGCACTTCTACCGTTACCCAACAGATGTCGTTGTCGACCGTGCTCTAGAGGTCTTGGGGCCGCAGCTTGTGGGCGAGGTGAGCGGACTGGTCGAACCGACTTACTACGCCGTGGATCGTTTCCAGCTTTCGTTTTATCGCAACATGACTATCCACTTGTTTATCACGGAGGCGCTGGTGTCTGCGGGAATGTATACGAGGATCAAGCAAGGCGGCGGGCCGTCTTATCAGCGCATATCCTACCAAGATCTCCTAAACCAGGTTTCGTTCCTGTCTCAGGTGAGTCAAATATTTAATTATTCTCTAGGAATCTTCCGCTAACCAAACCAGCTCTTCCGTGGCGAATTCATCTTCCCTCCCGAGGGCCTGACAACAAACATGGAAAAGACCCTCCACGGACTCGAAAGAGATAACATCATCACCGTGAGCCGAGACACCGCCGGCGCGCCACAATTCGTGGAGCTCAGCGACGCAGAACGGCAATGTGGCCGCGAGAATTACGACTTCTACTGCTTCCTAGTCTGGCCCTTCATCGAAGCCTCCTGGCTCGGCTCCGTTTCTCTTCTAGGGCTGACGCCCCCTCTCAACGGGGCTGAAGATGTCTGGATCGATCTGAACAAGGCCCAAAACAGCGCACAACTGGTAATTCAAATCACCACCCAATGAATTCTAGTGAAAACTAACACACAACCTAGCTCGGCAAAACCCTTTACCACCAAGGCGACCTCTCCTACTTCGAAGCCGTGAACAAGGAGACCCTGCGAAACTCGTACCAACGCTTTGCAGAAGAAGGCATCATCCAAGTCGCCAAAAGCAAAGGCTCGAAGATATCCACGATGAAGCTAGCCCCCGAATGGACGCCCGAGCGGGATCCAACCACGGGAAAGCTTCTTCCTCGTGGTCGTCTTTGGGACTTTACTGAGCTGATTGCACAGTCCAGACGTGAGGGGTGAGTTGACCCATAGTCTTTCTTCCTTGTTATTGATTACATCCATTGGTCTGGTATACTGACATTTCGAAGCAAAAACCGCCGTGACGGTGCGACAGTCTCGTCGCGGGTTCTGCACATGTCGGATGTTGTGGGCCGCAAGTTATTCGAGGACGCGAGTCCTAGTCCCGCTGCGGCGGAGGAGGTTGATGTCTCCATACGGCAGATGAGGAGGAAGGCGATCACGCCTAGTTCAAAGCTGTAGATGGATTATGTGGCAGGCGCATGAGACGAAGCGTAGCGTAGCGTTTAATACCCTTTTGTATATTTAGAGCCTTGCATATGAGGACTACCGTTGATATTATTATAGCATACTCAATAAGCATTAATTCTTATAATGAATACCTCATCCATGATATATACCTTACTCTAGCTATATACAACCGCCTAGTAGTAAGTAATCATACTATGAACACCCCTCACCCACCTTAACAACCCCAGACTGCACACCGTCCCCGACCCCCCCAACAGCCTGCACAACCACCTTCTCCCCATCCCTCCCCTGCACCCCATCCCTCCCCTGCACCCCATCCAGCACAATCCTCGTCTCAAACCCATTCTTCTCCCTCACATCCCCCACAACCCCCAACTCACTCCCCATCCTTACCTTCCATCCCTTCACATCCGTCGCCCCATTCCAACTCACATAAACCACGACACTGCCCCCCTCCCGACACGCCACGGCCTCCGGCCTCGTCGTCGGCTTCCCAACCCACTCGCGGAACCGATACCCACGATACGACTGCGTCGACTCATCGAACCCGAACCGCGCGTTCATCACCAACGCCCCGTTCTCATCGTATTCCTCAATCACTGGCATCGCGCCGTGTTGGAGCAGCACGTGTCCGTTCGGAAGTGGCTGGAAGCCGCCCTGGCTTACGGCGAAGAGGGGGGCGTCGGGGTTCCAGAGCTTGCGGACGGCGGTTGCGGTATGGTTTTGCATGTCGAGGGTGAGGGTTAGGCCTGTGGTGATGGTTGTGGGGGAGGTGAAGACGTTGGCGTTTTCGTTGTTGTGTAGGTGCAGCGTTAGGGATGTCGCGTTCGGGGAGTAGTTGATGAAGCGTGGGTCGTGTTGGTAGCAGAAGCTGCTGCCGGGGAGGAGGGTGAAGGAGGCGCCTTTTTGGCCCTGTGGGTGGGTGGGTGTGTGTTAGTTGGGCAAGGGGGAAAAAGGAGGGGGAAGGAGGGGAGGGACATACGTGGAGGTGCCAAGTTACGTTGCCGTGTTTGTCGAGGAGGAAGATGCTGCACATGAAGCGAGAGGAGAGGAGGTAGGAGTCGCCGTATTTGGCTACCGAGTTGAGGTGTGGGTATTCGTAGGGATCGGACTTGCTGGTGCCGGATCCTAGGAGGGGGAGTTCGGTGTTTGTTAAGGGGATCTCGGACAGGTGTTCGACTGTGCTCCAGCGGAAGAGGACTTTGTTGGTTTTGATGTCGATTTCGTAGAAGAGGCCGTCCTGGACCCAGCCATCTTTGGGGCCGCCAATGGGGGAGAGATCGACTTGGGTGACGTTCACGGCTGTTACGAGGATCGTGCCGTCTGAGGTGATCTGGCTCTCGTGGATGTCGATGTAGGAGGGGAAGGTTTCCGGGTCGGCGGTGGTGACGAAGTGTTGGTCAGTCCCGGGGAGTGTTATGCGGTGGATCTCCTGGTAGGAGGCGTTGAGGATGCTGATTGCTCCAAAGCCATAGCCTAGGTAGTTCGCGCCCTGCCAGTAGGCGAGGACGGGCTCGCCGTCTAGCATTTGGGGCTGGTAGGCGGATGTGTTGGCATTGGGGCCTTGCCATACAAGCTGACCGTCATCGGAGTATATGGCTGGGTAGCTCCATTCCATGCTAGAGGAGGATGGAGAGAAGAAGAGGTTCCCTAGTTCTGTTTTGCCATTCTTGGTGACGTTCAGATATGGCGCTTGGATAGAGGTACTGCGAAAGGTCTGCTGGGGCCAGGTGGATTCTGCGGCAGCTTTTGCGCCGAGGAAGAGAGTGAGGAGATTTGCAGCATTGTAGCTGCTGAATTGACGCATTTTGAGTCTTCTCTAATTGCTTCAAGCAGGCTTAGTATCCAAGGAGCCGTGGTAGAGGAATTGACATGATTTATAGATCGCGAGCGTCCCCGTATGTGATATCATAATATGCAGTTTCGGCCATTACACCGGCAATCCCAGCTCGAAGCAGTGGGCACCAGCGGGGTAACAGGATGAAGAGCCCTGTGGCATAACGATTCGGAAAGTGGACATTGCCGTTCTTCCAGCTAAAGAAAGTAGTCTATGTTGGGCGCCCAACCTGAGGAAGTCCGAGCGTATCCTCGGTACGTGTATGAGATGGACCTCGCCGAACATGCCCTTTCTGATTGTGTCTGGTATAAATCATCCAAGAGCTATTGGCAAGTCGAATTGAGTCAGTGGAGGTGCCATCTGTCAATGGGATTGGATGATGGGATATCCGAATGCGGAGAAGTTCCGGAACATAATGGCAAGTGATGACATTGTGGGGGTTCATTCTAGATCGACAAAGTCGACAGGGTCGCTTAAGCGAAGATAAGATGCGGAGAGCCCGAGTTCTACTGAAAACCGAGCGGAATCGTTCCTGATGCGATACTAGGGGCCCATCTCCCCGGAATACTGTGGGGTGGCGTGTGGGGACTGGGGGCTTGATCGTGCTGCTGCTGCAGGGCATTCGCTCGCTACCGGCCGCGGCCTAGTATAACTCCACGCTTAGAGCGCGGCATATATGGACAGGGCCTGGGGAACAGCCGACGGAATTGCCGAGCAGTGTTCAGGTGACATTGTGCTGTTGTTGAGCAGCTAGGCATCGGTAGAATGAGGGGTTCTCTTCTAGCGCAGACTGAAGCCAGGTCTAAACACCTGTTAGCACAATGTCTTTTACAATCCAATAATCAAGAGAAGCTCACGATGATGTTTGTAGAATGTGGAGAACTGGCGAAAGACAGGCATACCGAAAATCAAAGCACGCTCAGGGTAAGAAGACAGGAGACAGGATGCAACCCAACGTTCAGGATTTCAGAGACATGTAGTTCAACAACATTGTTGCATACCCTAAATGTCGACCAAATTATCTGTAATCATTCATGTCGCTTAGCACGACAACTGCTAGCTCAGAAAGTCTGTAGGATAACCAGGGCTTGGGAGCCTGTGGAAGAGGCTTTTGTGACCACATCCTGGCGCATCGGTGAGAAAGAAGGAGGAGCGCTTCTATAAAAGATGTTTCTTCAATCACCTGACATGCAAAGTCATTTCGCCATCGCATCGTCTAATGTCGCAATATTATCCTGTGATAGTAACTATGTTTGAGATGTGAGCCTGTATGCATGCATTCAGTTCTGCACCCAGTATCTCTTTCAAGTTGACCAAGATACCCAAGATCTAAATATCTGAGATGCACTATTAAATATTACCACTCCTCGAACTGGGCTGTAGTGGTGCTCATTATGTCCTGAGACTAAGATGTTGTCCAGCGTCTTAATGCAGTTGATCTTGCCGCAGTTTATCTTTTGTTTTTGGTTCTTTTTCTTCTCACATCCTGACTGTACTCATAGCAATTGGAGACCATAACTCTTGTCAAAATTGCTTGAATATAGCAGATCGCAGATTCATATTTCCGCATGGGAGAATAATTTGTACGGATATATTCCAATAGAGGCAAGCTAGACAAACCAGGCTGCCTCCGAGGTTAATGCAGGAATTGAGTTACATGGAACCTGATTCCCAGGTATACATCCGTGCTGCCTGACCAATGGTACTCCTCACAAAGGCCATTGTTGGCAGGGAAAGTCCTGACGTCAGAAGCGGACGACCCAAGCGGCTCCCCCAACTGGCATCCCCCCTGCATCTTCCCCGCCATTCCCATCACCACTTTTACATCAACTGAACTATCGCTCCGACCGAGAACTGACTGAACGAATCCAATCTACAGCATATACTATCATAATTAAGGGTGCACTAAGCATGCTGCGAAATACGAAACTTCTCAGCACCAGATCCCATCCATTTATACCTGTAACTACAAGAGTTGCTCAGCTGTGCCACCCATCAGTATCTTCCTACCAGCATCGCTGCCTTGTGACTTCCCAAACCATTCACAAGGAAAGACATCTCGAGTCTGATCTGGACCGGCATCTACTCCGACCTGAGCATAACGAGAACACCAAGTCGGGCACCGACGACGAAGCAGCTCACCACTGGTCTTCGTACGATCCCACTATCACCGATCCGGACCTTGAGGTTCTCGCCTGCGAGGAAGAGTGCGAACTCGATGGTGAACTCGATGACCCTTTGTTCGTCAGCCCAGGCAACAGGGAAGTCAGCCGTTTCCTTGATCCGATGATCGGAGGGGCGGTGCATGGTGCTACGAGACCGGGTCCAAGTGGGAGGGGATGGACAAGAAAGCATAAGGAGGTGATCATCAAGAAAATCCCTGGAAGCCAGTTTGAGAAATATGATCGAATACTACAGGAGCTGAGGAAGGCAGATAAGCGGTGAGTTGAAGACTTCCTCATCTGTATCCAGTGTGATCATGTTGATACTCGTCCAGGGTCACGAAATGAGTGTTGTAGTGAAGGGGTCTACCGCCATGGATTACCTTCTGCGACAAAGGCCCCTCATTCTCCGTGGGTTGTAAATGTCAGCCCGGGCATGGAGTTAGCATACATTGGATATGGATTGTTAGGTGAGTTGTTGATGGATATGCATGTATAGTGTCGGACTTGGTTATGGCCAGAAGACGGGCCATTGTATCACTCACTCCCAGATTGTACCCGAATGTGATATATGATACATCTCAAAAACAATGCAATACAAAATCTAGTATGCAGATTAACCAGATTAACCACATATTATACTTTCCATATTGAGCTTCATCGACCATACTTAGCCTTCGACCGAATGTGTAATGGGTTCAGAAAAGACAGTGTTTCCGGCGTTGTGTGCAACTACATAATCCTAATTATAATAAATAAAATTGTATATGGGCTATCATATAGGTGCTTGATTACGAAAGTGGTATTGTATCCAAATGCTATGAATAGAGAAAAGTCACTAGTCGACATGACCAAAAAGACATCAATAGAGCTCCACTACTATCACCAGAACTGACAAGTCAGTGCCTTTTCTATTCATGAATAGATAGAGGGCCCATTCTACTAGTGAAATGCATATGCTATTGCCTCATTCCCTTTACTCGTCACAGAATCCAGAAAAGTATCCCCTGAACAGCCTTACCATTCTGGACATATAACAGGATCATAATACATGTAGATCACTTTCTCAAACAGGACATCCACATAAATCCCTAAATCTTGGAGTGACCGGATAATGCCCTGGAAAATAAATTAAAGATAGATTAATATCCCACCCGCTAGCGTGGCCAGTCATCGTCGCATACGCCACCCGATCTCCGACTATTACGTCAGTCCGCGCACTGTGGCTGGATGGATGAATGTATTGAATGAATAGACGTGGAGAGTTTTGAGTTTGCTATTGTGATTGTACCTTTTTGTGATTGATCGTCCATAGCTTTAGTTTATTAATTTTTGTTTCGGACGGGTCTGTTTCTAATGAGTCGAACTGGTAATCTGTACATTTTTATATCATTGTATACGTCTGGGTTTATTGGGATGGCGTATAACGGTATGGGGACAAATTCAATTGAATGAGGGACATGGAGTCGCTGTTTTGTGGGTATACCCAGGAAATACTATGTCGAAAGTACGAAAAGGCAAGAGTATCGCATGTGCTCACCCGATCTTGGTTATGAAGCAGAGAAAGTGTAACTAGACCTCAAGTTCAGTCTTCCTTGAGATAGCCCACAGACCCTAACGCGCTGATAACTTGATAGGCCCATCCAATTATGCAGTCAAGCTATTCAAGTGTATATAGTTTCAATGATGGTTATTACTAACTAGTGTGTAGCCGTCTTTTCTGCATTTCATAATTGAAGGAGGATCCGTATGCATATATAACTGATGTCCGCAGCGCCGCGGCCTTTCAGCTACTGATCGATTCTCTGCAACCAGACACGCGGACAACGAACTCTGATCGGTAGAGATGACCTGCAATTTCTGTGCTGCCCTAAATCATACCTAATAGTCGCGTGCATTACCGAGAGGCTCAAGGGTGCACTCGAGTACACCGATAGGCCACCCCTGTGAGCAGGTTGGCCCAGGCAAAAATAATTTTCCAAGGACAGATCCGAGCGTATAATTGGGGCACGCGAGGGCTGATAACCTGGAGTGCGGCCTGTAGTGTGCTCGAAAGATGGTGATTAGTACTTCTTAGTCCATGCCTATTTCTTAGCCTTTATTCGCAATTGTTTAATGCAGGTCTGATTGACAAACATGCACACGAATGACTAAAGCCGAAGACTATCTACCACAACATACGATCACGGTACATTTCTCACGATATCTAAGTAAATAATGCGAAATACAAAACATAGGGTATGATATTTCGGGACTCGGATTTCCGGGTCAGTGGAGTGGAAGGTTTGATGTGTAGAAGATCGGAAATAGTGTCAGATAGTCGCTTGTGGCGCGGGATCAAGTGCGCGAGAGATGCTAATTCTCTGATATGCTAGTAATTGGCTGCTGAAATGTAGGTATTCCCAACACCCGATAGGTATGAGAGTGTAGAAGAGACAAATGCCTGTTTCGGTAATTTCTTTTTATTCACTTCATCCTCAATAATAATACCTGATATTAAGATAAGAATCATAAAGTCGAACTTCGACCAAGCCACAGCGTCAATCTGGGCCTGAAGCTGACCCGTCCGCTAATGAGATCATTCCCCACATCTGCAACACGAATCGGAGGATAAACCGCCCACAATGCCATCATTGCTGAATCGCGACAGAGCCACGTTGTCCGCTCATTGGATCTGATCCTAGCCGTTACATGTCAGATCTCATTTTATTGACTGGGGAGTCAATGCGCCTCCAAGTGCTGGAGGTGGTACGGGATGACGTTATCCGATGCTCGGCCGCGTGTCGACAATGCGATGCGCTGCGATCCGTGGTTGAGGGCCAAACTTTCGGCCGCGGACTTGATATCCTGTTTTCTGTACCATTGTGTTACTGTTGACGGGATATGATGATGCTTGGATTTATCGGGCGATACTGGAGATGTATGCCGAATTTGGGACATTGACAGTGGGATATGACAGTGAGGAATCTATTGTAGTGATTATTATGGAGCTGTCAGGGCTTGGAGGTATGGTTCCTGACTAATCTGCACTAAGGCACCTGATATCAGGTGTCTGCAGCGAACAAGAATAGACTGCCCCAGTTAATCTCCTCGAGAGGGAAAGCAGCAGAGATGATCCATCCACTTCTGACGCAAGAATGATCCAGCTCTCCACGCTAAATGGGGCAGTGGGCCAGCCTTCATCCACTTTGTCTCTATTCTTTGTCTTTGTGCTCGATTCTAGATTCCGTGCATCTGATGGGCTGACCCTGCACACCATCGCGCTGCTTGCAGCGATGATGTGACAGGCTTCCTACGCCACGGAGGCCCTGCATGTATCTGCTCGACGGTGACGGGGATGATAACACCCCAGATTTGATCCAGGCGCAATGACGTAGGTGGGCTTCGCTGCATAGTAGATGCATTTAAAGGGTCGTGAAGCGTTGGACTGATGGTAAACATCTAGTCAATAACTTATTCCTACACATATCTTCATACCTAACCTTAGTACCACGATCAAACTTTACAATTGCTGTCTAGTTTTCACTTGTACCTGACGAATCACGAGCTACTTCAAATACCTGTACCACTGACGAACGCAACGACAAATCAGCTACCTCTACTACTTTAAGACAACTATCCAATCAAGATCGGCGCATTCTTCTCTAATCCTTTTACGTCTAACCAACCCATCCCATCTAACACATCAACTATGGCCTCTCCTATCGCAAGTAAAGTCTCCAAGCTCAACCTCAGCCCCGACTCCAAGCGAGGCACTCCACCCAAGATCCGCCAGCAGACCCCCCAGAAGAAGACCCCTCCCAAGCTTCAGGCCCAGGAATCCGCCTCCCAGGCTGAAGAGCCAAGCGCCCCCTCTACCCCCACCCCCAAGGGTAAGGTCAGACAGCTGCAGTCGGAGCAGCGCGCTTCCCCTGCTCCGGTCCCAGATGATGCCCAGTCCCAGGCATCTGGATCGGCAAGCCAGATCGAACGACCCGTCTCTGAGCTTGGAGACAAAGCTCAGGATACTGCGCAGAGTGTGCAAAATGGCGCTGAAGACCAAGGTGTCGGCCAGATTGACTTGTCTGTTCTGAAGGGGCTGCAGGTCGGCGAGGATGGTCTAATCCATGACCAAGATGGCAATGCCATTGGCCGACTCGCGGAAGGCCAGGCCGAGTACCTTATCGGATATACTGTCGGCGACAATGGAGAGATCCTCGATGAGGATGGGGACCTCGTCGGAGTCGCCGATGTCCTCCCCGAGGCCTTCCAGAATGGAGTTGGCAGCGTTCAGGAGCAGGCCGAAGAAACAACCGATCAGGCAACAAAAACCATCAACAATATTGCCGAGCTGGCAGATAGCCCTGTCTCAGAGTCTGGGGAAATCAAGGATGATGATGGCAACACCATCGGCAAGCTTGTTGAGGGTAACCCCGAGGATTTGGCTGGTTATGCTCCTGACAAGGAAGGAAATATTGTCGATGACGATGGTGACCTTATTGGTCGGGTTGAGATCGCATCCCAAGCTGAAGAAGCAGCTGAAGAAGCAGCTGAAGAAGCAGCTGAAGAAGCAGCTGAAGCAGTGCCCGAAGCGAAACCTATCACCGATATTGCGGCCTTGGCTGATCGTCCCGTGTCGGCATCTGGCGCTATCAAAGACGACGAAGGGAAGCCGATTGGAAAGCTTGTCGAGGGAAATGCCGAGGACTTGGCAGGATACGCCCCCGACAAGGAAGGAAATATCTTGGACGATGATGGTGATTTGATTGGCCGTGTCGATATTGCGTCCCAAGCCCGCCAAGGTGCTGAGAGCGTCGCCAGCTCCCAGAGACCTGCCAGCAAGTTGAGCCGTGAGGCTGTCGATGATGCCGAGCAAAGGGACACTTCAACCGCCGATCAAGCCAAGGAAGATGTCGATGATGCCGAGCAAAGGGACACTTCAACCGCCGATCAAGCCAAGGAAGATGTCGAGGAGGCTGCTGAAGAAGCAGAGGATGACCTTCCTCCCCTTTCTACGCTTGAGGGTCTCAAATGCAACAAGATGGGCAAGATCGTCGATCGGGAAACCGGTAAGCCTGTCGGTGAACTGATCGAGGGCGATGCGAAGAAAATCTCTAGACTGGGAGCCCAGCTCGATGACAAGGGACAGTTCTGGGACAACCGCGGCAACGTTATTGGAAAGGCCAAAACCCTTCCCGTCGAGGAGCATCCTGATGAACCGCCCTTTGGCGGGTTGGAGGGACTCCACGTCGTTGAAGATGGTTGGGTGGAGGACCAGAATGGCAAGCGTGTTGGCAAGATCAGCGAAGGCGATGCTAAGAAGGTCCTTGGACGTCCCGTCGATGAAGATGGGGACGTCTTGGATAAGAACGGCAATGTCATCGCCAAGGCTGAATACTATGAGGCCGAAGACGAGCCCGAGCCCGAGCCGGAGGAAGCCCCTGACCTTTCCAGTCTGGAAGGTCTCACTCCTAACAAGCTCGGCTACGTGATTGGACCAAAGGGTGTCCCGATCGGCCGTGTCGTGGAAGGCAAGGTGAAGGAACTTGCCGGCAAGGAGATCCATGACGGCCAGATCTGGGACGGACCCAAGCCAATTGGACGTGTTGAGCTTATTCCCCCGGAAGAGCGGGAGAAATCAGCCGAAGGCCCATTTGCCGGATTGGAGAATCTTGTTGTAAACAAGGAAGGCCTCGTCGAAGATGACGATGGCAATGTCGTCGGCAAGGTCGTTGAGGGCGACATCAAGACCTTGCGTGGACGTGCCGTTGATGAGGATGGAGAGATCATCGACAAGTACGGCAACGTCAAGGGCCGTGCAGAGCCATATGAAGTAGAAGAGCCGGAGGAGGAGGCACCGGACCTGTCGATCTTGGAAGGAAAGACTGTCAACAAGGCTGGCAATGTTGTGGATGCCCAGGGTAACGTCTTCGGACGGATTACCTCTGGTGACAAGCGACTTGCTGGACGGAAGGTTGATGGCAAGGGTCAGATCTGGGGTGATAACGGCAAAGTAATTGGCACAGCCGAGCTCATCCCAGGAGCCGAGGAGCAGAAGCCCGAAGGCGCCTTCTACGGATTCGAGAATCCCGTGGTCGGCAAGGACGGCGTTATCACTGATGCCTCGGGTCAGATCATTGGCCGGGTTGTTGAAGGTGATGCGCAGCGCCTCCAGGGCCGCCAGGTTGATGAGGATGGCGACATCTTGGACAAGAACGGTAACACTATCGGCCGTGCTGAGCGCTGGCAGCCCGAGGAGAAGCCGCGTGATGTCAACCCGATGTCGGGCCGTAAGGTCAACCGTGAGGGTGAGGTGCGTGATGCTGATGGTAACCTCATTGGCAAGCTGACCTCTGGCAACCTTCCATCTCTCATCGGCAAGGAAATTGATGATAATGGATACGTGGTGGACAATGATGGTAACAAGATCGGGGAATGCACTTTGATTGAAAACATTCCCGAACCCGAACCCGAGCCCGAGGAGCCTGAGGAGGAACCCCAGGAGCCGGAGATCTCCCCTGAGGAGCAGGAAGCTCAGCGGAAGATAGAGGAGGACAAGCAGTTGGCTAAGAAGATGAGCGGTATTATTGCTCAGACTCTGGACCGCATTCGTCCTGTCTGCAAGATGATCTCCGAGGTATGTTCAGCAACTTTTTCTCACTGAGACATTACTAACCCTTCGATAGCACATCGAGAAGGCAGACCGCACACCCAAGGATGAACTTGACGAGGAGCAGCTGGTCAAGGATGTGAAGCCGCTCCTTGAAGAGGGCAACCAAATTCTGCAGGAGTGCAATGGTGCCATCCGTGCTCTCGACCCAGACGGCCATGTTGCCGCCACGGCCAAGGCCCGTGCTGCTTCTCACGAAGCTTCTTCAGAGGAGTACGCCTTGGCTGAGCAGCTTAAGGAGCTCACCGATCTGGTTGTCAAGACCATTGATAACGGTAAGAAGAGGATCGCAGGCATGCCTCATGCCAAGAAGAAGCTCAACCCTCTGTGGGCACTGCTCAGCGAGCCCCTCGGTCAGATTATCACTGCTGTTGGCCTGCTATTGAACGGTGTCCTCGGACTAGTCGGCCGGTTATTGCAAGGTCTTGGTCTGGGTCCTCTGGTGAATGGATTGCTGGGAGGACTGGGACTGGATAAATTGCTTGGCAGTCTGGGATTAACTTCCTTGACGGATTCCCTGGGCTTGACTGGAAAGAAGAAATAATTGAATAGGCGAAGGAATGTGTGCTTGTGATATTAGTCTTCTTGATTCAATATTTGCCATTGATGTCAGATTGACGATAATGATTTTCACCATGTCAATAGCTAGTTAAATAATCAGAGTTTCACCTTGACAATTTTATTCCATATCTTCATTCATAGTCGATATTAATCCAAGTCTATGCACTGCCTCCAAAAGACGGACTATATATTCCTGCTCTCCCTCCTCATCTCCAAATAGTCTTCTTCCAGTACACTCCCAAGGCCTCAGCGCTCTATATAAATTCTTCCATATACCCTATTTACCTGCTATCTGAATGCCACGAGGATAGTCTTAGGTCACCATATCTACATTATTTATATTACACACATATACCACTTCCCTCACAAAGAGGAAACTGCAAGGCCTGTGGGTTCATCAGGGTTCCATATTCCTCCTATGAAATCAAACCAAACAGTCACCACAGCACTCGTGGCAAAACCAGCGTCAGAGCCAGAGAAGGAAAATATAATTACGAGAGGAAGGCTTTCTTCTCATGCTTTCTCTACGTCACCGAAAGATACCAAAACGCGCGATAGATGTGTAAGGAATTCTTCATGAGATAAACGTCCCAGACACATAGGTGTTCCATTATGATACTAAGCACTGAAATGGATGACACCAAACATGTCTGCGTTTTATGAAGAACCGACTACCAAAGGGAATGCAAGCCAAGAGCCCAACGGGAATTGTGGTAGCTGCCAAGCTCAAGCAAATCCGTGTCGCAGAGGACTACAATGCGTACAAAGCTGATTTTGACCCAGTGGTTACAGAAGCGCATTGGAGTGTTTTTAATGCCATTAGAGCCTTTGCCTAATTCTGCTTGGCAATACATGCTTCTAGTATATATAACCACCAGCATGACAGATAAGTAAAGTGATCGTCGTCTTGTCAAAACTCAGTGACGAGAAAGATGATGTCATATACTTATGATCCCTTGAAGATCTCAGAGTTCGTGGGCCCAGAAAATACTGCAGAGACATATCGTGTCTTACTATTTGAATGGAGCATGGGCCAATTGCAAAACCCGGTCTGGGTTTGGTAATTAGTATAGTAAGTTCTCTCTATTCAGCTCAGGCTTAGTTGCTAACGTCCGTAGTTTAGAATTCACCGCTGTAGTACAAACTACGATCAACATTGAGTCGGAGTATGTCATGGTATCCGGTGCCAAACGCTCGCTTTGTTAAATTTGGAAGACATATGCAAGCGGCAGATACGCGGAATTCTATCCAATCAACGGTGTTAAGCTTCTACTATGAGGCGGGGATTAGTATTCTGACAACCAAGTTCCAACTACTTCAACAATATCAGCTTACGCTATCTCTGAACCGAGTTATTTCAGGCAGAAGGCCACAAAAATATCAATGCCAGATAGCCTGCACAGCCTGTGTCATTGGAAAACTCTGTTCATTTTCCAACACCCGCACTTGAATTTGTTGAACGTTATCAAACAGGATGACAGATACGTTTAGTCCACGGGAAAATCGCGAACCAACTGAGATGAAGGGTCTTTATATGTCAAGATCTAGCTTTGACCAAGTGTTGCGCATTGGATGATGGGGATAGCGTAAGGTTGCATGATTCACTTGCAACTTCTGTCAGGGTGTCCTTTCCACGTGCAGCAAAAGATCCTGCAATGATCCGTCAAAACGATCGTTTCTATATATACATGACGCTTTTAGAAGCAGCAATCTTGCGGGAAGGAAATGTGTCAGGCACACATTTTCTCCTGATCTGTCGCGGGAATGAGTCATATGCGTGGAGGACGCCAGATGGCCATGTTGCCATTCGAGAATGCTCTAATTGAGAAAAGGCAACACAAAATTGTCTACCACTGGGAAAGCGCATAGCTCTCATCCAATGACCGTCCTTTTCAGTCCAAGAAAGCTGGCGGGTTGGTGTCCTTCATCGACGAGGAAGGCTGAAAGAGCAACAACACACCTGTATTAGGGCAATACTACATGAAGAATGAAAAGTCATATAAATCAGACAAGCTTGCAGTTGAACGATAAGTACAAGTGCCTTAGTATCACGGTCAGGCTTACAGATTTACCCGACAACAGCGGTGCAGGAAGTGATACGCACTGCCGGGATCATCCTTTACTTTACCGGAAATCGACTATTATCAACCTGCAGTGACAACCCAGACGATATACATAAAGCAGAAGGAGGTGAAGAAGAAGTGCGTTCTCTCATTACTGACTATATATCTTGAGCACTAAACGGACTTGTTCAACCAATGGACCGAGTGCGATAGCACATAACTATGCAAGCCGTACAGCTGGGCGCGAGATGACGACTGATCAAATGAACCATGACACCAGAAGAGCCCAAGATGGATGTTTGCATGCAAACACATTAATATGGATATAGAAGCGACATACCGGAAAAAGACAGTGCCCAAGTCTTCTCCCAATCAGGACTTCAGGCTGAATCACGCTTTGAAGTAACGACTGTCTTTACAGTGATACCCTCCATATGGAAATGGACACTCTACCTTGAAATAAAGTTTTATGATTACCGCAAGCTCTGTCTCAACATAGCAAAGACAATAACTGCTCTGACACATTTCCAGAGTATGCTCACTGTTCTGCAAACTCAATTTTAACATTCGACTTGAAAACCACAGAAGGTGTCATGGCATCACTTATTGTAACATTCAAACCTACAAAGTGCGTTGGGATCTGTTTGTCTTCTCACACGAAAAATCTCATTTGGGCCTACACCACTTGGTCTAGATCTGTCTGCTCGCAGAAGCCACTTGCCTCCATATTCAGGCAACTGTATTGAATGAGTTATGTTTCCATATTTCTCCAACGATTGCTCTCTGACAACAGTGACACGATGTGAGCACCATGCCTGAGGGTTAGGATTCAACGCAAACATTAGTGGCGATTTCCATTCTAATCATCGATACTCGAAGGGCTACAACATACCTGGAATTTACTCGATCAATTCTTTCGAGAATTGAGAATGCCGTCCTCATCTGTTGGGCATGCGACAGCTCTGCTATTTATTATTGCCCAGATAGGCGAAGCTCATATGCCTGAGCCGGGACATATGCTCTGGCAAGCTTGAATGGGTCATGCAGTACCTTGTTCTATCATCATCAGAAGAAGTGCCTAAACCACACGCTTCAGAATTGATCTACTTTCCGGGAGAAGAAGTATAGAGTCTTGCTGTCAAAGATATACCAGATGAGATCTATATCGCTCGAACAGAATTCGGGAAGATAATGTTGGACAAGAGCATGATGTAGTCCCGTTCTTCTCGAATGCCACACGGCTGACAGATATGAACTGTCGTACATGCGAATAATAATACTCTCGATGATACAATCCAGTTAACAACGGAATCAGCCAGATTTTGGAGACAATAAATTATTTGGTTTTATTTCCAAGAGGTCGAGTGGCCCGATGGTCTGGCAGACACTTGGGATATCACATCATTATCTTGTATGTCGATGCGTGCGAATGTTCGCTGAAACCATTTAAGCATGGATACAGACCTGCTTTAAGGGCATGACATGGCTGCTGTTGGATACGGGAGACAAGTATTACTTTTTACAGGTAAGAAGTATCTGTTGAAGAAAGCCAAGGCCACTGCCATGTACTTGGACATCAAATTGGTTAGCTTGTCACATGAATACCCTAAGTATTCCTACATTTAGAATGTACTAACAGGAACTGCAAGATGGCTGGCAAAAGAAAAAGACCCCAGCGATCTGACGGACGAATTAGCGGAAACATGGACCTGTTGGAGAGAGCACTCATTTGAAGTCTCCCGAGTATCATAACCTCGGTGTTAATCCAGATAAGTTAAATGAGGCATAAGATGCACTTACGTATCTACATAACAACAGCGACATATGTTTCAGAATCTTGGGCGTCCGCTGTTTACTGCCCTCACACAGGATGTTTCAAATACACCGCTAGAGACCAGCCATCACTCTTGCAGCAGTGAGGTCCTCAAGATTGGGCCCTCGCTCCTGATTATTCTATCAAGAATTGAACTACGTTTATAGATCATCCTGCAGATTCATCACTATCTAGCATGGAATTGAGGGACCTTACCGTACCCATCAGCAATGCATATTGTCTGCAGCTGGCCCTATTTTGGGACAGGGCCAGACCCATTGGGCATAATTGCAAATATGAATCATTAGAAAGCGGCCACCTGCAACGCTTTTCTGACTACTCACCAGCGGGTCGCAAGCGTAGACATAATCTTTGTCTCATCCTAGGGGACACAGGGTACGCTATCTGCTCGGCGTCGAAATGCGTTTTAAATCTTACATAGACGGTAGCAAAGAATGAGAACTTGGTATTGTTGTCCGTCAGCTCGGTACTGACAATATTGTGGAAGAGGCACGGGCAACATACCTGGACAACGGATATCGCGACTCCCTTGGTTCGAGGCAGTTAGGCAACCTGCTTGGAAGATGATCAAGATATACGTACGTGATTATATCAATAAAAGCACTAGAGCACTACCAAAGAGAGCCCGAAGCCCCGGTACATTGAACAGCCCCCCAAGTAGTTGGGCTTTGGATAAGCTCACGCGGCATAATGATGAGACAATATTCTTCAAACAGGATTGGGCCTGAGACTGACAGCAAACCCTGAAATCCTGCTTTGAATATTCTGAAGCACATAGTCGTATGGTTCTACCCTGGCTTGAATATCAGGCTCAAAATCAAGTAGGTTGCAAATACGCCGCCGACCTGGATATAGTTCCCGCTCCAAGGTGGAAGAGTTTAGCGACGAGTGGGCTGAGAAAATGCGCTGAAGGCAGCTGGCTTGTCCTTCGATACGGGCTGGGGCTCCCGGGCTTGGATGAACGCACAATCAAGCGAGCGTGTTGCGATACTTGGAGAAAAGAATGTCCTTTCAAATAGAGTGGGCCTGTTTATTACCAGAGCGTGGCGCGGACGCCAGCAGCAGCGTCGTGAAGGTGAAGATGAACATTCGAGCACATATGCAAAACGACCGTAGCCAGCCTCCCGTTAAGTTTCTCCCGACGGAAAGAACGATGATGACGACGCCATTGACGAGTTAGCCGACCTCCAGGACAATCTAGGAATGGAAGCAGAGGATCGTTCGAAAGAGTCGAAAGAGTGGCGAAAGTCCAGAACCTATTTTTCAGGGATGACAGGGTATTTCGATCGAATCATTGCTGATGAAGCACACTATGTCATGTCAATAAGAAGCCGCAATCACCCCGCATGTACCACCCCTTGCAATTCGATTTCCCTTTTTCATGATTGAGGCAAAATCTGCCGCATCTGAAGGAAATCTATTTTCAAGCCCAGAATCAAGCGGCAGTAAGTGATTCGGCGGCACTTCGGAGTTTTAAAGTTCTCTCTGATCTGTCTAGTCACTGGTCCTTCTAGACGTGAAGTTCAAATGGTTTTTGAGTGCTACGCCTATGTGGAACAGAGCCATTGCTTATGCGGGTTCCTGACATAGGGTATGCTACTATAGGAGGCAGTGGTTTATCTTGAATAGAGATGACCTAGGTTATTAGGCAGTTATACTTAAGATATGTATTATTTTTGATCAGATTCAATAATCTATTTAGATACTCTGTTCCAAATATGAGAACATTTTGAGATACCATGACTCCTATTCGAGTCTACACTTATCCACCCTATACTTGCCGTGTCACGTAATTGATTCCCAGTAATTACCCAGGAGATTAACGCCAAACGAATGTATGGTAGCTGAAAACCGTCAACGCCGTATCACGCCACCCGTCCGAATCTATATGTAAAATCATGCAATATTTATTCGTTTCAGGTCGTGAAGTGAAAGAGGTTTCACCAAGTAGTCGTCAATGCCTGCTGCAAAGGCCTGCTGTTGCATCTCGCTCGAGGCGACACCGGTAACCGCCATGATGGCCGCTCGTGGGAGCGAATGTTGTTCTTCGTACTCGCGGATCTTTCTCGAGGAGACGATCCCGTCCATAATTGGCATTGAGATATCTGCACAATCAGTAAGTAATGCTCAACAGTCAAAGTGGCAATGTACGAACCCATGAGGATGTAGTCAAAAGGCTTGGTAGAGCTTTTGTACTTTTCAAATGCAGCCAGGCCGTTGGATGCTGTTTCGTAACTGCAGCCAATCTTTCGTAGGAACGTAGCGAGGATCTGGACATGTTAGTGCTTATTATGGACAGCTGAGGGTTTGTGCGTACCTTAAGGTTGATATCATTGTCATCCACAATCAAGACGTGGAGGTTCTTGCTGGTAGATTCTCGCGGAGGCGATGGTGCGAATTCAGACACGTTTTCTCGAACCACGGGCGGCGATTCCGTGCCCTTCGCCATAGCAAACGCATCAGACAAGCTCCGGCCTCGGAGCGGGACACCGGAAAGGGGCCCTAAAATGGGGCTTTCCGCATACGAAAGCCCCTGGTCCGAGTCTGTGATCCGCTGTAAGGCTTGCAAGATCTTGCGAGGTGCGATCCTGTTCAATGTTAGCGGACAGCTTCAGAAACAATAAAGCAGACTTACGGCTGAGGAACATAGAAGACATCAGCCCCTTTGATGGCAAATTCTCCGGGGAGTGTGACGCCCTGTTCGCCAATAACCACAACAGCCTTGAAATTCACGTCGACGAACCCCCTTTCCGAGAGAGCTTTTAAAGTAGATTCCTCAATGACGGCAATATCTCCGGAGGCCTTGTCTAGGTGATCGGCGAAAGACACCATCCACCCAGGCTGGCTCAGCAACACATTGCTGAGCGCGCCTCTTAGCGACAGCTTACGCTTCGCTTCTGTGCTCAAAAGACCACTTGGCGCTTCTTTGAGGTCTGCGTATGCATTGAGGCCCACCAAAGACACCCGGGTCATCGTCCGCGTTCCCGGGGCACCACAATCCATTGCGGAGGCGTCTTCCACGAAATCCACGGGAATGTACACGTCCATTTGCGTGCCAATCCCTACATCACTCTTTACCTCCACTTCGCCGCCCAGGTATGTCACCAGCTGTTTCACTACACTCAACCCCAGTCCAACACCCTCTGTCAAAATGCTCTCCTGCGCAAATGGTTTGAAGAGGTGGTGTTCGAGGAAGTCTGGCGAGATCCCACAGCCAGTATCCGTGATTGAAAGTTGGGCTAGAGTCTTCTTCGTGTAGCCGGATCTTTCAACCTTCTTCGCCAGGGAAACTTCAATGAAGCCGGTTCTCGTGAATTTGAATGCATTCCCCAGGATGTTCATGATGATCCGCCTCCATGCACCAGAGAGTGACTGCAGGTGCCATGAGCCCAAGTCTTCAATCCGAACGATCACCGACAGATCATCCGTTTGCGATTGTGGTGCACCAGCAGGCCTATTACCTACGGCAGATCCACCTGGTAGGTAGCGACTGGCCACCTTCGCAGCCTTAATGAGAGACCGGTGGCCTGCGTACAAGGCATCAGTCACGTCTTCCACGATTTCATCCAAGTCAAACTCGGTCAACAGATTATCCATCCCTTCACCATTTGAACCGCCTCTTTTGCGCAAATGGGTTAAGTTGTTGATTTTCGTAAACTCAAGCCTGCAGAGAATTAGTAAACATCATATAACAGAAGGAGGCGAGCTTACAGGTGATTCATTGTGTCCAATAGCGTGAGACCACATGTTTCTACCATGGCGACCATATCTTGTTGGGCGGTGTCCAAAGACGTAGTCTGCAAAAGCTCCGTGCTGGCAAGCATGCCATGCAACGGGGAGCGAAGCTCATGACTAACTGATGCCAGTAAATCTGACTTTGACTTCTCTGTAGCCGTCCACTCTATCTGGCAGAACCCAGAAACGATTGTATCCCCGAAGGACCTGAGAAAGTGCAGATCATCCTTGCCGAGCTGCCGCTGGTCATCGCAGGTCCAAACAAGTGATCCTGCAAGCCAGCGTGATTTGTTCCAGTTCCACAACGGAAGAAATATCATAGACTTGGCCTCCGGATAATTGTGTGCTAATCGGGTGCTGATAGAGTGCCGCAAAGGGATTTCACCCTGGTTGCTTTGTATACTTTGCCTGCGTTGATGCAACGAACTCAACGCTGGCCAGCCGGAAGCCAGATGTGGGTGAATTATTTCGCCTTGCGGAAAGGCAGTGAACATGTCATGTAGCAGACCTTCTGTTAAAGGAATTCTAAACATGCTGGCGGTGTTTCCCAGGGCACGCTCAGACGAGGCTACCCCAAGAGGTTCACACTGCTTTTCAGACCAGCCACCATAGGACGATACACTAGGTGAGCGGAGAGAAAACCCGGAGTCACTCTCCTTATCCCACTCTCCAACACTGGCGGTCGATTCACTGTGTCATCGTTAGCGACATTCCATAGCTGTTGATAGAAATATCATCACACTTACCCTCGAGTGTTGCTGCGCGACGCGTCGACAAAGAGAACCCCATCTAAATCCATACATTCCTGCAGTAGCCCACTTGCACGAGAAAAGAGCATGGAAGCTTTATCAGAGATGGGAGTGCTTTCAGGCACCATAACGAGGTTGCTTGTTTCATCAGAGCTTTTCCTCACATGTCGCTGATGTATCCCATTTGGCACTGAATTATTAGTCCCAAAAGCTGGTATCTGGAAGAAGGGTGATTCTGGACGCTGTGGTGGAGGATGTCGAGTGGAAGATGGTGAAACGTCGCGAATATCGGTTGTTGACACGGAGAGGCGGTCGATCTCTGGGACATCAGATGAACGTGGCGAATTTGGCACTTCCGATGAACGGGGCGATACAAGACTGGCAGCCGCCGTACTTTTCCTCCGGCTCTTCCATCCGTCGTTCTCAGTTGGCGACTGGCCCTTGACGAACTTCATGAGCCCATCTAGCAAGCGGTCGTTTTGGCGATAACGCCGTATTGCCCCGACATTCTCAAGGTGGCTCGCAACAGCGTTGGCAACATCTTGCAGTTCTGCCAATTCACCTGCACCAAAATGATGGCAAGGCTTGTTGTTCACAACACAATATGTCCCAATTACTTCTCCACAGGATGCAGTCAATGGAACCTCCGCGTATAGCCTGGGCCGAAATCGTTCCACGAAAGGATGGGACGCCAGATTTGTTTCCATACTAACATCACGAATAATGGTACTGAGGCCATCACTGATGATGTTCGAAGAACGGGTGCCTTGAACTGCATTCTTTCCCAGACCTAGAGTGCTCATACCTATCGTATTACCGTTCACGGATGTCTTGTTCCCGCAGCGTGAGCCCGACGGCATGGCTTCGGCGATAATATACGTCTCTGAGTTATCGACCAGCGAAACAAAGGCGATACTACACCCAAGGCGATAGGTCCCTAACTGTGCAAGAGCCACCAATGCGGGATCTGAGGCTGGGGTAGCCATCGTGGAGTGGTTATGTCCATTGACGATCGAGCCTGGGGACACTTTGTGCAGGAGCCCGTTGGCTTGATCCGGAGCCTGGGAGCTGTAAAACCTGTTGTCATAATTGATCAGTGAGCAGTGCTTCTATAAGACACAGCAGCGAATGCAGATGGGATGGATGGTTAGCGTGAAGTCGTACCTGAGAAGTTCCGCAGTCATCCGGGGCAGCTGCAGGGGACTAAGAGCTGCCGAACCCACAGCGTAAGATTGATCGCCTAGGACATTGCAAATGGCCGCGGAGATTTGTTCAGGGCCAGGAGATGGTACACTTAACGGAAAGAACAAGCACCAGATATATTTCCCAGATCCCTAGCCACGGCAGAGTTAGTCAGAGGCTTTAAGTTTTACCATCCGGGCGCCACCGGATTTGCAACAGATGCTTCCAAAGAGGGTGCTAGAGCTGACGGGAGCCGGCCAAGTAGTATGCATGCAGGTCTAGGCCACGGGCTTGATGTGCACGATTTTCTTAGTGCACCTTAGCGATGGGCGACCCCGCCGGCTGATGGCCCCGACCCCGGATAAGGGGATCATCGCAAGGCTCTGCATGACCAGCCCTGCCGAATTCCGGGTACGACCGTGGCGTGTTCCATGGTTCGGCTATCCCAGCTCGCCGTACAGACATCGGCCGAATAGCTTCACATACGGCCGTGTCGTCGGCTCCGACGATTTCCCTCGCTTAAATATAGGGAAAAAAGCGGATAACACCGCCCACTGATGGTAGAAATGAGAAGATTCGATTGAAAAAGGATGTCTTGACGATGCATAAGCGCTGCCTTGCCGAGATTCATGTATAGCAGGAAAGTGGGATGAAGGCAAAGGTGAACGGGTCATTGATGTAACCCAACTCTATAGACTTGCGCGTGACGCGCCGCGATTCGTCCGGAGTTACTTTTCCCGGCGCCGCTTTCGGATCGTGTTTGCCTGAGGCAGGAACAGACCTGGACATGCCCTGGCAAAGCCCTTGCCCTCGTCGGAGACCTGATCGGGCTCGTAAGATCTCACAGTGTGTTGTCCGCCATGACACAGCGGATAGACAAATCGGCAGTCTTCCTAGCACTATCTTGTGGGTAATGGTTTCTTCACTCCTCCCGTATCCCATTGGGCGGAAATTTACTCGTAGAGTAAGCAGGATGTGGCCGGAAGCTTAAAGATAGGTGGCAGGCCCCCTCCTTAGTCGATCCGTCCACTCAATTATCAAAGTCTAAGCCATGTCAAATACTATTACTCTTTTGGCAGTCTGCACGCAAAAGTAATTAAGATAAGATGGAAGATGCCACGAGTATGTACGACTCCAGCTCATGGAGCTACTGCAGGGACCCTCAGTGATCCACAAAGGGAAAGGATCGGTGGTCATTACTCATCGACTTGGGGCATGATTCATCCAGTCACGTGGCGGTCGTTGTCACATTCATCCAAAGTCGTCTCACGGTCTAGATCCCCTCCCCACTGCCGAACGACCCTGAGACTACTAGGCTGAGCAAGTGCTAATGATTTTGTCTCAGGAAAGTCTCACTGTTGTACGTATGAATGTAGCTAAAGGCGTCGAATTCCGCTCGTTAATCTGACGGCGCATACATGGGGTATCACTGTTTTTAAGCTCGTATTCGGGATCGCGCCCTGCAAGGGGCACATGCCACCAGCCAGTCAGATCTTGGCTCGTGTAGAGCAATAGGCCCGCGTGCTTACTCTGTCCTCGTGAAGATCAATGGCCCAAGTCCAAGTTCTAGACCCACCCGCCCACGCATAGCTGGCTGTATTAACTTGCAGACATTGATCAGTCAGACCCAGTCCGACGCCATCTGATCGTATGGATGTAATGTCGCCCAACTGCCCCCATATCAGAGCCCACTACTTCCGTTGGGCGAGTTTCGTGCAAGACCATGGCCAGTGAAACTCAGTCACTAGAACAACGGAGGGTCTAGAGTCGGATTGATAGAAAAGAAAGCTTCAAGGTCCATTGTTGAGAAGTCAAAGTCCCAGCCCATGTCGGACTGGGTAAAGTCAAGCAGGTCCTCTCCACTGCCCAAGCTACCACTTGGCATGCGTAGACCATCCTGCAAGGAGTTCCCTTGAAAATCAGATAGCATCGAAAGACCTCCTCCCGCAATTAGGTCTGACTGGAGAGTGTCGGGAATTGGACCCTGGGGCTGATGCGCGACGCTACTGGGGTACCGTCGCACAGCACTAGCAGCTTGGTCAATGGCGTAGGAATTTCCTTTTACCATTGTACCTGGCGACCATTCATACGATGGGTTAAGTTTTCTCAGGACGGTTTGTATAGCAGACATGGAGCTGGAAATTGGTTCGCCATATCGCATCGATGAAAGACCCTGCAAGGCGGCGTGTATCCAAGGAAGGTGGGTGGATGCCAAATTTTCTCCATGCATTAGATCATAAATTAAGGCGAAGCTAGAGCTGCCCAGAAAATACCCGTGGTAGCGGAGTTCCTGAAGCGTCATCAGCACTTGTTTCTATTCAGCAGATGGACTGCGTCAAGACTCACCCGAACCAGTTCATTGTATATGGAAGCTTCACATAAATGATGGATAGTCCTGCAAGCGGCACTGAGAGCTTGATTACAGGCTTCATTCAGCCATGTGGGGATTTCGGTTGGTCCCTTGGCCGTGCTGTTCCCCGGCTGTTGGGAGGACATCCTCATTTGGTGCTGCCACCGACCTCGAAAAATCAAGAATGGCCGAAAGGTCAGTAAAATGGTATGATAATAGACTGAACCGTCAGCTTAGATCCCAGAGCTCAGATTATTTCGGAACATACGAGTTATTAGAATAGTCTGCCGTACGCCCATGGTCCCCGGCTGAACCGGCTTATCAAGCCCAAACCCTAGTGCATGTTGCATTTTCGAGTCGTAACAACGCATGTCATCGGTGATTGATTTAGCAATCTTCCACATCTGCAGTAATGATTCATGCCGTCTGCCATACATCTCATCGGCTGATCGGGAGAAAATTTTCGATAGATGGACTAGCACCTGCAAGAAGGGGTCCTTTGGTAGTGCAATTCCGATATCTTTTGCGGATAGGGATCTCGGTCGTCCAAGATGGAAACAAGTCCAGCTGTTCAAAGTATCAGTATACCGCAACTTGATTAGCTCAGGGGTGACCGACACTTCGTAGAAGTACAATGACCAGAATGTGCATCGTCGTTCCTCAACACTATCAGAAGCATCGTCACTGTCGGCAGGAGCTTCTTTGTGCAGACCAGCAGATATGGCCTTTCGGGCAGCTGCACCCATTAGAAGAAATGCGGAGTTAGGCCTTCCTTGCTCATTCTGGAAATGAGCGTGCTGGTCAGAAGGTCAGTATTGTGTTGGTTGACTTCTGAATAGGCGTTTACTTATCATGAACAGTGACAGTTGTACAGTTTGAAGGTTCACCACGTCGTCAAGAGAAGAGATAGACGCCTTTACACGCTCGTATAGGATATCTCCCCAGCTATGGTGCTGTGTTCCTAGCGAGCCGGTGGCTAGCCCCAGCAAAAGTAGTGATCGCGCCCATTTATCTGAGCGCGAATCTGGTGTTGGACGATACAAATGATCCAGTTGTTGATAGAAGACTTCCTTAGACCAAAACGGCACGAGGTGATACAAAGTTGCCAAAAAGCGTTCCAGAAAGATTTTGGCCAAGTCGTAGGGCAGAAACAGCACATTTGCATCGGGTCCATTTAGGGCCTTGTTCGAATCATGCGACTCAGCCTGGGTTCCGAAGAAAATCCGACGGAAGCTAAACATGTCCAAGCCAGCTCCTGCTTCTTCAACTTCGCCCTGTGGCTCCTCCGTCTCCGCAGACTGGTTGCCGGAAACCAGGCCCCGGTAGATTTCGTGCATGAGTGCAAAGTGAGAAGTTGAGCCATAGTATAATTGGACTTTGCACGATGGCGATGCCATATGCGTGGCGGAAACGCTGTTGTTGAAAGTCAAGCTGACGGAGGGATTTCTCCGTCGGGCTGGCTGCATCACCCCAGGAGACTGCTGCCGTGCGCCGTAGTCGGCCCGCGTAGCCCCATTCGAGATGTACTCATCGTTCGCGGGAGCATCTGTATATTGGTGCTTCTTCTTGCGCTGTCGAATAACTTCGCGATAGATACATGGAGTATGGCGCAGTTCGCAGGTTTTGCACGGATTGGCACCATTGCATTTGATCTTCCTCTTCCTGCACTCTTGGCACGCCTTGGGGATCCGCCAGCCTGAAGGCTGCGCTGGGGATATGGCGTCTGCCATTTGTAGCCGGCCAGCAAATTAGGGTGTTAGAGGCCCCAATATACTCAGGAAAATCCGTCGCAAGGCCGTGTTGCTTCTCGGGTTTATTTTTCCTGATGTTTCTGCGTCATGGACTGTTGGAGCCCCGAGCGGTCGGATTTATCGCACGTGAGTTTATCCGTTATTCCGAACCCCATTTAGTTTAGTCTCTTTTCCCATTTGGCACCTGACTCGCATTTTATCCCAGAATTAATCATAGACATCTATTCGTTTCAAGTAATAATTCATCTATGCGGAAGAAATATTAACAATTCTGTTATAAAGTTGTTTCTATCAACAACACAGGGCTAGTACTACCACTGCTACTGCTACTAGCGTAATATATAAAGCATCATTTTGTCTGGTCCCCACATGCCGTCGATCAATCGAACTGAATTGTCTAATTTCTCCCACATCATCACTCACTACTCCGTTATTGAGTGATCACAGATTCTATACCTTAAGCTCAAACGACTATATCGAAGATTTGTTCAGGCTGGTACATAACACTATTAATATTATGACACCTGCGAGCCATTGTCGCCGGAATGTGAGCATTGCCTAGGACCGCTAGTACTTATTGCTACTTGAACTTTTTAAATAATGAGAAAAAACCCTTTGACACGACTGATCCACACGGTATTGATCTCACCAAGCCGGGGGATATCGGCTGAGAAAAGTCAAGATATGTCGTCGGTGACACGATGCGTTCCCGAGCGGCGTACAAGGACCACCGGCGAATTCGAAGCCAGCCGAAGACAGTTGGTGTTACAGCAGTTTCCTGTTCGAGAAATAGATCGGCTATCACTGATACTGTGGAGTAAAGATAGTCTCTAAAGTTGGCTATTGAGCGGTAATTAGTGAGACAAAGAGCAGCCAAAAGACCCCCTGCGTCTCCAAATTAACCCCATCATTATTGTGGCAGATTCGAATCTCTAAGCGGAGTCGATGCAGCGACGTTGGATTTCAAATGTCTCAAAACGGAGTACGTGTTGATCATCATCATCTGCTTTCTGGTTTATGGGATACTTGAGCTTGCGATTGAGAGAATGATGGCATACATACTGTACATACTGTAGACGAGTCGATTTCCTGACGCCTCTGTCTTTGCTTACTTTTGCTGTAGCTCTACATTACAACTTACTGAGATATCCCTGCCTGTCTAACAAATTTCGTTAGCTACCTTTTAATATATTCATTAAGAATAAGGAAAATTCGAATCTCGGCCAATGTTTGGAGACTCTACACCAGCTTCAAATAGCTATAGCATATTGACAAGCAATCTAGATCAATCATGCTCCACTGAACCAGCAAAGCATCAAATAGTGTACCTAAACGCCTTGTCCTCAACATCAGTATGATCCGAATCTACAGAAACCCCTATACGACCACTTCCATCGCCCCTATCAACGATATACTCAAAGTACCCCTCGCTCGCTTTGCGATCGCGCCTCCTGTTCAACGTCTTCACCATGAACACATAAACGAAGAAAGTAAGTATCAAGCAAGCCATGGCCGCAATACTCAGAATACAACCCTTCGTGTACCTAGGAGCATCGTCCTCTGTCCACGCCTGCGGACTAACAATGCATCCAACGCAGTATGCAACGAAGAAAGCAGTTGATACGATACTTTTCTTCGTGTTACCCTTCACATTACTGGCGATAATGCTGGCCGCGCTACTTATCAACGAAGAGCTGCATCCTCCGAGCCAGGTCGCTACCACTATTCCCCAGTCCGCGCCGCCGGAATATGGAAGCGTCATGAGCAATATTGATCCTAGGAGAGGTACGATAGAGAGACCGATGGCGGTGTAAACTCTTGTTCCGGGTAGAATGCGAGGAATGATGGCGCCGATCCAGACGGTGATGAAGTTGAATGCCCCAGCGGGTGTTCCAACGAGCATTGTTTTGTATGTTGAGTAGCCGAAGCCGTGTATGACGGTGGAGCTGTACTTTGGAGTGGGAAGAGAGTGGGTTAATACCTGACCAAAGTACTCCAGATAAGGAGGGCTAGCATACCTTCATTATGGGTGTCGTGAGGGTGATGCATATTCCCATCAGGCAATAGATCCAAGTCATCGGCGACGAGAGTGCTTCCTTGAGTTGAGCTTTGCTGAAAACTGCATGGTCTCGGGTAGCGCGATCGATCGCCATGCGCTGAGTTGCCACTTCTCGTTCCTGTGGGTTCAGGAACCAAGCCGTTGTCGTATCTCGGGGCATCAAGAAGATGAATAAGAGACCAGTCGCGGAGGTTAGACCTCCGCATATCAGGAAGAGGGATCGCCACGGGGCAAGTGACATGTTTCCCTTTCCGATACCATACATCATGAGAGCACCTATAATATTGGCTATACCGTTCATTGATACCCATGTAGCAACGCGAATCGGATGTTCCTTGCGCTTGTACCAAATACTCGTGATAATAATGAAAGCTGGCGAGACGGTTCCTAGTGGGATAGTCAGACTTGGGAGCGGAAGGGTATGTGAGTGAGTCTTGCCTTCGGAGAACCCTAAGAAAAATCGCACCGCCGCCAGTCCCGCGAAGTTGTGAACAGCAGCCAGACACATATTTACCCCACCCCATATTACTATAGTTACTCCGACATAGATTGTGATCGGAAATCTGGAGAGCATGATCGCAGCTGGGTATTCTGAACAAAGCTGGCCGAGGTAGAATAACGAGACAGCCCATGAGAACTCTTGACCTGTGAGCTTGAGGTCACTTCGTAGACCAAATACTGCGGCCTGGTTGATTGTCTGCTTATCGAGGTCTAGATGGAGATTAGACTCGAAGGAAAATGAGTATCAGGATATGCTGACATTGGAAGAAATATACGAGCACCATCAGAGGCAGAATAACGCAGTCAAGTTTTCGAACGACCTTCCTCTCGATTTCGGGGTCAAAATTGTAGAATTGCGTATCATCTGCAGTTTCTAGCTGACGCAGTTCACTTTCAACCTTATCCTCGACTGGCTTCTCCGGGGCAGCGTTTGCATGGTTCCGAGCCATTTTGTAGCGTTCGACAACTCGAAGAGTTAACGCTATATGGGGAAGAAATTCAAAGGGAATACAGGAGATTCTTCAAACATTAGCAGTTTGAAGTCAACTGGCCTTTATAGGGGCGTTTAAATAGTATCTTCATCACCTCGAAAGAGGGGTACAGCGCTACGTCGTTTCTACCCCACGGGGTACCCCAGATTGAGGGGACAACGGGAATAGATTCTCCGCATCTCCAGTCACTGACCGAAAAACCTAGGTCATTGAATACTCTGAGAGTCTACGCCCAGGTAGTAAGGCACAAACCCTGGCCGAAAAGTATATTGGGAGGCCTATATCGGCCTAATGTCAGAATCCCGATGGAGTGCATGGCCAAGCAGGTTAGTGGCTCGGCACTAGGAGTTCGTTGAAACTATGTTTGCGTGTAATATCTTAATTCAGCGTTCATAATACCGAAAAGCCCCGTACGCTCTCATGGATTCATTCGATGGGTCTCAGTTGGTGGTCGCTTCTTGATGCTCTACACACGGCACTCGCAACCCCAACTTTCATTGGCACGGATAAGGTATCTGGTCCATATTTATCCATTATGCAAATGTAGGAGATCCCGAAATACTATTTGCAAATGTATTGGCATCGATGTCTTGGATGCATGGTCAAACAGACGAAGCCGACAAATTTCCTACACATGAATTTATGGAGAATGCCTAATGCTTATTACCCTCGTCAATGACTGAGAAGCATGGTCTTGATAGCACAACGATGTTCATGTATACCTAACACCGTCTCGCCTGTCAGGCAGTAAAAGCAACCATATTGGACCGTTACTGGATTGTGTAGACATGCCGAAGGTCTAAGATTGCCATATTGTCGGATAGACGGATAAAATATTATACACAACCTCTCATTGGGGCTCTGATTAAAGTACTGAAAGCGGGGGCAAATATGGACTTGCGATTCTGATTGTTGTAAGGGAGAGGAGGTGCTTCTATTCGGTTAAGATCATTACACTTTCCGGCTTGGGGGTGGGGTGTAGCTTTTATAAGGTAAAGAGCCTTACTGTAAAAGAGAGCTACCATGCAGAGCATCGGGAAGTTATTTAAAAGCCGACGTCTTGCGGAAACACTCTGAGCATATATTTGGAAATGATTCGACGCACAGATTCTCTAGAACCAAAGGTAAGAATAGATGGTCCCTACCAAAGCATTCATAAAAGGTCTTGGAAGAAATGGGCAAAGTGAGAAAATATAAAAGACTTTATAATTTCAGGTTGTCCCAATGGGAACGTCGGAAACGAAAGCCTCATTGTGACGCTACTAAGCACCCATAGCTTGCTTCAACTTTTGTAATATCTGCTTCGCTTGAAGTAAACGCGATCCTTCTAGGCATCCCCATGCGGAGGCCAGCTTTTCACACTTGTCAATGAGAACTTGGTCATATGGAAACTGACGATTCTCGAGCAAGAGCTCCATGGCTGTCAAATATTTGTTTTCGATAGCAGCCTCAAGCGGTTCGAGTTGGAGGACCACGTCATGCTCCCAGGTTTCATCACCCCAACCCCAGAGTTCACCGCGGGCTAACAACGCTCGGATAACATCCAGACGGTTTAGGCTCACAGCACTCTCAAGCCTAAGTATAGCAGCAACTGTAGGCTCGACATCTTCAGGCAGAAAATTAATGCCTCTGTTGAGAAGGTAAACTGCATTACTGGGACGTGACTCAACGCATTCGTAACCGTAGGCCGTGCGTTGCGAACTGGTCGCGTACATGTTCAAAAGACTTGGTTTGACACTCAAAAGATATTCTAGAATGTTAGTACTGTTTGCAAACTCTGCAGCAATATGAAGAGCCGTGCAACGCTTTCCCTTAAGGTCCATGGATTTGTTGATGTCTATCAAATCCTCCTCAATTATGTACCGGATAAGCTTCAGAGCACAACTCGCCTGGCAAATGCTCCGAAAAAGCCACCCGACATTATCTGGAACTTGATACCCTTTGTCAAGAAGTAACCATGCAAGTGCTTCCTGAGACTTGGGGGGAGCAAAACGAAGAAAGTGCATTGGAGTGAACCCATAACGCATGGTGTAATTGGGATCCGCGCCTCTATCTAGCAGCAGGTTTGCGAACTCCACATCGCCATTGCGAACACAAAGGTGCAGCATCGTGCGACCGCATAGGTCAAGCGCATTAGCAAATACACCTGCATCCAGAAACAGCTTAACTGAATGATAAGCGCCCCTGTTGACTAAATCCGCAAAAACCTCCAGGTGCCTGTCGTGACCTTCGTGTAAGCGGTGAGGTATATCTACGAACCCATCGTATTCATGGCTTACAGTATTGTCTGGTATGAGTTTGACGTTTGCCATATCGTAGTATTCCTGTTTTGGAAAAGCAATTTCCTTTGCAATTTTAAGTAGATAACCACGAGCAAATCCATCAAGCCTCCTGTTCGTCAAGCGAAGACAACAAAGAACCTTGATATCTAGGTCCTCGATAATATAGTGGATAATCTCAGAAGGTAAGTGAGAAAGCTGGGCTTGCATCTTGGGCTGGTTCATGAAGTCTTCGTATAAGGAGAACTGTAAGTTAGATAAGTGATCGAAGTCGCTTCAAAGCGATGCTGACAAGAGAACCTGACCTAGCATGTGGTATTTAAATAGAGTTCACGTACTATTCGACTCCAATTATTCCATTGCTCAACTAAAACCCTCAAGAATGAATAGCTGCAACGAGTATCACCAGTATCTTTGGACGGGTTTCGGGAATAACATCCATTGTCTACGTCCTCTTCTGGAAGGTTCCTGTTATAGGGTGTTGCACGAAGATATACCTCCCGCCTTGATGAAGGTCCCGTAGACGGGACGAGGATTAAGGGACACAAGTCAACGGCAATCTCTTCTCATCAAGGTTCTTCCGCAGAGCAAGGCTTCTTAAATTGTAGTTCACGCCAAAAGTTCTTCAGTTTCAGAACTATGCCGAAGCTCTGTCCGGGACGGCTAAGGTGATTGTTTGACACCGAACTGGGAAAGTCCCTGGCTTATTGGGATGAATAAAGAGTACTCTGTGGCTTTGTCTTACGCAACGAAGATTAATTCACGATTGACATCATCTCGTCAGGTTCCGTACCATTAATGTACCCTACTGAGAGCAATCTCCGTGAATGTATCGATGATCTTTATTACGTAGTGGAGTTTACCATTCTCGCCTTTGGACCGACGCAATAAGCCGTAGCTGTCCAAAGAATAACTTTTTAAAAGGTGTAACCTTGCTATGTAAACAGTCAAGGAGAAAGGGCCAACTTGTCTCCATTTTTCTCGTCTTCCTTCAAGCGCAGCGGACATAAGAAAGTCGCACATCATCGAACATTTCTGAATAGACTGACTTGACTACTAGCTGGCTAAACAACCAGGGTGAACGTCAAGTCTTTCAACATTGCTCAAATTTAAGTAGACACTTTTCACTCGATGCCGACCACACTGCGATTACTTTGGTATCCGCTAGATACTGTGTTTAGATCTGTCTACAAAATTTTGCCTAGCTGGAAACCTGGCAAAGTTGATGTCGAAGAAATGGATTCATCCTCCTCTTTCCGTCCCAAAGATGTTGGTCATAATAGCTGTTATCACTTCTTAGAACCCCCTCTAACTTCCACAGGCCATCCAGGCTGCTGTATATGAAGTTACCCCTCACCCTCCCAACGTCGAGGTGAGAATTGTTCGTCCGTATATCCTCCTGGCGTGTCTGAAATTATCGGCCTGCCGGATGGATCAACCGTTCTCAAATACCCATACATACCTGGCGATCGTGTAGGTATCGAGGTAGAGGCAGAGCTTCTCAAGCTCGTCGGAAGCCATCCACGGATCATAGCCTCGAAAGGTCTCAATGAGCATGGCCTAGTCCCACAGTATGCAAAAAACGGCAACGTTTGCGATTGCTTCACATGGGGCCGCGATATTTACTTCGACCAAAGGCTCCGCTGCTGTGAACAAGCTGCGGGAGCCGTCCAATTAATACACCGAAAAAGAGTTGTCCACTGTGACATCAATGTCCGAAATCTACTACTGGACGATAACCTTGACGTATTACTTGTAGACTTTCAGGGCGTGTTGAAGTCGGAGAATGGCGAAAAACTGTTAGATGGGGAGTCTCGAGAAAATTCTAGAGCGTACATGCCTCGCGTTCACGGTGACATTGCAAATGCCAAGACGGACATATTTGCTCTGGGGTCTCTATTCTACCATATCATGACGGGACATGGACCGTTTCCGGAATTGAATGACTGGGAATATGATGAGGAGATCGAAGAACGTTACAAAAATGGCCAATTTCCTACTGACAGCCATGCATGCTCTCATATTAGAGATAAGTGTTAGAGGCAGTTGTACGAGTCTGCTGAAGAGATAATCTTTGGCATTTCTCAAATTCAGGTGTCAAAGGATGCTGGTACTGAACATTAAGACAATAGATAGATTGCAATTCACAAATACGATTTTTATTTCAAAGCTCAATAATTCCACTTCGTACAGCAATGCTGTCGCTTGATCAGAAGTTTTCGTTTACCTTGGTCGCTACCACAAGGCAAAGTCTCAGAGTTGACGAAACTCCATGAATTTATTATCAACACTTCAGACAGATTCCGAATCTCATGGTTAAAATTCCCCTGGTTTTGAATCCCATGTGCACATCCTTATATCCTCCGCAGTTCGGCCTGCCACAGGGAGACAGAGGATCATAAGTGGTAATTTTATGCTTCGGCTGTGCAATGCAATTGACATAATTAACTGTGTTGACGAATCGCTCACACATGTTGATATGGGGAAAGAGAAGCCGCGCTATGTATGATATGGTTAGTTCTGACATGACCTCATGGAGAGATGTGGCACTTACGTTGATGAGAAGCACTTGCAATGGCAGTTAAAAGAACGATAGCTATCGAAGAGCTTCGCAGATCTTGAAGTGGATGTGTTCTCTCACACGAAGAGTGGTGTTCGCATGGTATTTATGTACACCTGGAGCTTTCTTTCAATGCTACCAAAAGGCATCGATTCGGAATATTCCTTGGAGCTGTAAAGGCACAGCCTCCCTGCACCGTGGGAACGTGAAAGGCAACAGCCGGAGTGATACATGATCCATACCATTCCGTTTCAAGGAGAATGATCCAAGGCATTAAAATCATCATAGAGGGTGTCGACGCGCTGACTGCTAGACAGAAAACGATATATCGCGTCTATCCGATCAGCCAATGGAGAGGTATGTCTCAACAGACAGTCTTGTCAACTAGATCTGCGTGCCCCGGCGTATCGTTGGAAGATTCCTGTTGCAGACGGCACTGCCTTTGATATACCCATATTAAAGCAGGGTATTCCTTGAAAGCAAACGACAAGCTATGAGTGCTTGTAGCTCCACGAAAGGATCAAACCTAACTGCATCGCAGATGCATGGCTTCATTTACAGCGATCATGGTCTGTGGCACCGACATGCCCTGTCCCGTCCTGCCAGGTATAAGTGAGTTGTGAATCCATGAGCCCTCGCTCGCCGTAATAGGCGGGCAAAGTTGAAACTGGTTGCTGGCCGAGGAAATATCAATCAGTATATTGCGTACCTCTCCTGACACTTAGCCCTAGTACTCACCTATAATAGGATGTCCCATATGTCGAATCTAATTTTGGGTTATTGTGAAATCAGTTTCTTTATCCTTGACGATTCTGTTCCGGCAGGCATGTTCTGCGTTGTCATGCGGGAATAGACGAACAAAGTTTGCAATAACAAGATTCCATAATTCAAATAAACCACAACTGCTGTAATAGCGCTAGCTGGTTGCGTTAAGTGAATAGCGCGGAATAATGTATACCCTTCATCCGTTCGTGATCGCCTTCACGCTAGACCTAACACCAGAAGTATGAGAGCATGATGGCTTTCCGGGAAGTAGTTGATAATGTGTCAATTTATTTATGTGTAGAATTTCCCTTCGTAGCATTCTTTTTTTCTCGTGGTCGCACCGTCGAGAGTACTATCTCTTGTGATTTCGATGGTAGTGAGAACTCGCCTTCAACTTTCAACGCATTAACGTACTGCTGAAGTTCGTTAAGATAGCAAGTAAAGTCGATTATTCCCGGAGAACTAGTGAAAACACCATGGAAGAGGAAAGAGTCAGTACTTGTGTGCCTTCTTGTATTGGTACAACCCGATCAGTTCAAGGCTGCTTCTAACTTCGTGATATCCAGACCATGGAAAACGGACCTTCTCAAGCGCCAGGGTATCCAGAAGCCCTGCATTACAGGCTTATCCCCCCAAGTCTGGAGGGCCTCAATTTTGTGCCCAACTTTGGAGACATCGTCTTTCATGTGAAGGGGCAATTCCTGGCCTGGGGAGGAACTGCGGTCCTAGAACGTATGCCCTCAGGAAATGTGGTCAAGACGCCGCTGCCGAACCCATACTTTCAACGCGAACATGAGCGCCATAGGAAAAGTATGCATGTCGAGGCCATTATTTATGAGATTCTCCAAGACCATCCGCGCATACCAAAACTGATTGATTGGGACCCAACCACCTGTTGCTTGACGATGGAGTATGTCGAGAACGGGAGCCTTGCGGATTTCATAGGAAGGAATAACCAATCGATAACCGGCAGTATGAGAAGCAAATGGGCAAGACAGGCGGCCGAAGGTGTTCAATTACTTCACCATCATAATATAATTCATTCGGATCTATCGCCTCACAACTATCTCGTCGACTCGAACCTGGACTTGAAGATCTCGGATTTTGCTGGCTCATCTGTTTTCGGTGCACCTGGCTCTGCTCTTCCCGGCACCCGCTATCGTGATCCACATGTTGAGTGGTATGTTCTTCGATTCTCAAATGACATCTTCAGCCTGGGATCTGTGATTTTCTTCATAATGACTGGCAAGCACCCTTACCAGGATCTGCCCAGTGATAATGTCAAGCATCTCTTCCAGCGCTCCCAGTTCCCCGAGGTCGGTCACCTCTCATGTGGCAGTATTATAAGGCGGTGCTGGCTGTTGGAAGTGGATGCCACTGAAGTGTACGACTACTTCAGTAGGAATGGATGATTGGATGGTCTTTGTATTTTCCCATTCCGAGCCAAGCATATCAGGTTCAATATCTGTCCATTCTCACTGGCCATCAGCACTGTACGTCATGGTAGTGTTCGTAACTGCTGATTACAGCATAGTAACTGTGTACCATATGCATCATATCCCATTTCTTGATGTGAGGGAAATCGGTTGTAAGTTGCTGTCCCGACCGATAGACATTCATCCTGCTTCTTGCAGACGCGTCGAGTAGTTGCATTTTTTGCACATCAATTTAACACTCGTTCACGACCACTCGTAGTGCAAAGAGGTAGCAACCAGTACGTCATATGTCCAACATGAGAAGGTTTGCACATTTGGCCTTTTATAGTTGAGTCAAACGTAAGAAGCATTAGTGCGAAAAGATTTAGCTGCTAGCACCAATCCAACGAAACAGATAATTGAGGTTAAATAGAAGGTTTTATTTCAGAACAGCAGTAAGATGTGCTTTGTATATGCCGTTTTGAGCTAAAGTCCTTCTAATGAGGACCCGATATTGGTTTTTGGCGAAGGCAGGGAGAGATGTAGATGGTTGGATTGAGCTACTGGAGCCGCTACTTTATAGCTTGCGTAGACCTTCCCTGAGTGAATTCAAGAATACAAAATCACTACAGTATTCGGGTTCACCATTTATCCGGGTGAAACCTTCAGAAAGTCATGTGAATGATCCTGTTCTCCATGTTGGAAATCCTCTCTATATGGCAATTCAATCTAGAGAGCACATTTTCGATATATCTCACTGCTATTCAGAGAGTCATTGTTTGATATCTTGCTCCTGTTAATGCTGTTAGTACATATTTGTCGCACGTTATGCTCTGAACAGCCAGAATCTTATTGGCTTGGCTTTTCTCTTAGGAAACCCATTTGTTCTGAGAAAGCACACCCTAGGCAAAGAGAAGTTTGGGGCCGAAATCAAAACCTAAGGCCACCTAGCATGGTTATTTATGTAAGTTGAATTACGTAGAGCTTTATTTCAATGGAAGAGACCTATAATTCAACTCCTGGGTCTGGCATTTGCAGTCATTTAATGCGCGGAGACCCAGAAAGTTAATTACGGCGGAAGTGAAGAGTAATGAAGTCATCCGTCAGATGACTCCCGCATCTCAATTTTGCTCATATATGCAGCCAGAAATGCCAAACCGTTGAATACTAGAAACCATTCAACGTGCATTTTCAATTGGAATTTGTCGTTTCATCATGTTCCCAAATCTACAGAGTTTGTCCGAAGAGGACGAATATAAGGATAACCCGGCACCTTCCGGCCGGCGGCGGTCGTCTGTGGTACCACCTAGCTTGCAGTTCCTCGTTGATCAGGACTCTCAGCAAGCTAGCAATGAGCCCGCTGAGTGGGAAAAGTCATGGGATCAAACGTATGTTTCATATATCGCTGGGTGGTGAGCTAGTAGGACTTACTAACCCCACCAGGACTGAAAACCCCGAGCTTTGTGATTTCTTGGATCGAGTCTCCTCTCGAGATCCAAACGATCCAGACCGACAAGGTGGGGACATAATGAGAAGGGGTTCTTGAGTTAGAAGAAATCTCAGATCACGATCTCAGGGACTCAATGAATCATGTAATTGATGTTGTTGGAGCGTAAATGTGATTGCTACTCTCTAATTTGTCGGACTAGCCAGATATGATGGATTTTAGTTTTCAATGTGCTTATAATTGCCTTCCCTTGTAGGGTCGCAGATGATTATTGCTAAGCTTAATGCGTGAAAATTGCTGTAGTTTGGAGCGAAAGATTCGTGCTATTCGGAGCACAGCTCAGAAGTGGACAATGCTCCTGAACTCGGAATACCCGAGTATCCATCGAGACATTTTGTGTAGAGATGCTAGTGGGTCGAACCGGAGGAAATGGCATGTTCAAGAGTGATGGCATCACCACGTCAACGGATGTGGAAAGACTAAAACCTAATAAGCTTCAGCTAGCCGAACACTCACCAATCGCCTTACAATTGACCCACAGCAAGTGGGCCATATCAGCCCATCAGAATCAGCCCATTTTTCATCCCTCCGATTAGCAGCGATTCTGACGTCTGCCCCGGACACCAGGATATCATCTCCACCTGGTCTACAATTGGACTACCAGTGTGTCTAACTTTGAAATCTCTCGCAATAAGATGGCTTCCTCCTTCTTTCTTTTCCACAGACATACCGCGAATTTCACGCATCCTTATCCAGGCACGGTGCCCGTCTTGCAGAGCATCTTCATTGCCATAGTGTGACGGATATAGGCTAAATCGTCATCTGTGCCTTACATCTATTGTTTCACCTACGGAGTTCTTCCGTAGCCCCAGACAATGGACCGTCGCCTCACTATTGCATCGCAAGTCGCTGTCGCGGCAGTGGCTGGCTATTGCATCTACAAGGCCTTCAATGCCCGACAGCAACAACAATCCTTGAAGGATGCGGTGCCCAAGTCGTCTGCTGCTCCTCTGACACCAGAGCAGATCAAAATCATCAAGGCTACAGTTCCTGTTCTACAGGAATATGGGACCAAAATCACCACTGCCTTCTACAAGAACATGTTGACGGCGCATCCTGAACTCAATGCCGTGTTCAACACCGCCAACCAGGTCAATGGCCACCAAGCCCGTGCGCTAGCTGGTGCACTGTTCGCATATGCATCTCACATCGACGATCTCGGGGCCCTCGGTCCTGCCGTTGAATTAATATGCAACAAACATGCATCTCTGTACATCCAAGCTGACGAGTACAAGATCGTTGGCAAGTACCTCTTGGAAGCTATGAAGGAGGTGCTTGGGGATGCCTGCACCGATGAAATTCTCGATGCATGGGGTGCCGCATACTGGGCCCTGGCCGACATCATGATTAATCGCGAAGCCGCACTGTACAAGCAGAGCCAGGGCTGGACCAACTGGCGCCAGTTCCGGATTGCCAAGAAGGTGCCCGAGTCGGACGAGATCACCTCCTTCTACTTGAAGCCAGTTGACGGCAAGCCACTGCCGCCTTTCCGACCAGGCCAGTATATCTCGGTTAGTGTCCAGGTTCCAGAGTTGAAGTACCCCCAAGCCCGCCAGTACTCGCTCAGTGATACCCCTCGCTCGGATTACTATCGCATCAGCGTGAAGAAGGAAACGGGGCTCGATCCTCGTGCTCCGGGTGCCAAGAGACACCCTGGATATGTCTCCAACGTACTCCATGACATCATCAAGGAGGGTGATAAAATCGATGTATCTCATCCCTATGGAGACTTTTTCTTGTCCACTGCTGAAGCTACCCACCCGATTGTTCTTCTCTCCGCCGGTGTCGGTATCACTCCCATGATGTCCATCCTGAACACTATCACTCAGAAGAAGAAACGCAAGATTCACTTAATTCACGGATCCCGTACGACCGAGGCTCGTGCCTTCAAAAGTCATGTTCGCAAACTGGAAAACGACATCCCTAACATGCGAGTGACCTACTTCCTCAGCAGGCCAGGTGGCAGTGACCAGCTGGGCGTTGACTATCACCACGCTGGAAGGATTGACCTGCAGAAGCTCGAGGGGTCGTCTCATCTGTATCTAGACAACCCTGCTACGGAATATTACGTCTGTGGCCCCGACACATTCATGACGCAAATGGAGCAGGCTTTGAAGGCTTATGGTGTGAGCGATGACCGGATAAAGATGGAGTTGTTTGGTACAGGTGGTGTTCCTCACAACTAGAACACTCTTCTATTGTTGGCTTTTCTGTACTATACATTAGTTGAGATATGGTGTTTAATTATGATATATAACGAATGGATTTTATAACCAGACTTGATGCCCATAAAAGGGAAAGTATTTCACTTGTTACTTTGTGTCAATCCACAAAGACACAATGTTTGTACCTCAATCTATATAAAAGGAGGAGAAAGATCTCAAGATGCCAGAGACTTAGGGTTCATTCTAGACCGCAGGTAGCCCGAAACACAAATCTCACCCCAAGAACAGCCTCCATCACGACTCAGTGCTCATCCGCCCCATCCATATTGACTTCATGCAATCAGCATACAAACGAGCGCCTAAAGTAAAGCTCACCGATCTATCACATATCAAATAACATAATATGGTGCCTCCCAAGAAGCTCTCAGTAGCATTACCAAGTTAGCTACAATGGACATTCCAGAATACTGCTTCGATCACCATGTCATTCGCCAGGATTGAAAGTCTACCTCCCAATCACCACTACGTACTTCAGCGGCATAAAGTCATTGATAGATATCAAATAATAATGACAAGGACGGCAGTATATTCGAAGGCAATGCAAATTACCATCTCACTGAACTATATGCGTAGCAAATATAGTTTCAGAGCCCGGATAGACCAGATCCACTGGTTCTGGCGAGGATGCCACGTTCATTACTGAATGGACGGCGCCTTCAAAGGGCAATCTGAAATTCAGGCTAATTGGAGCAATATTTCCCCTTGGGATTTTCTTATCAAGGCTCCAACGAGATTATCATTGATGATTGTGATTCGTTGATCATGGTGTAGAACATACAGCTATCCGATGGCTTATGGCCGGCCTCGCTAACGTTGCCACTTTCCGAACCACCTAAAAAATTTTCCTTTAGCGGATCTCGCTAGATTTTCCTTCTTCGCCCCGCCACGCTACGTACGCTGCCAACACTATTTATCTCCTGCATCAACAAATCGATCTATCAAGCAATATTCCCGGCTTGATGATTGCCTTCGGGCAGACATGCGCTCACACTTTGGCTGGTAAGGTGACAACACCCTACCCACCTTTTTGCTTCTCTTTTCCCCAGTCCAGTTTACATAGAATCCCGTCTTAACAATATGAGTATTTAGTGTGACATGTAGACAACGTAAAGTGAAATGCAACGAGGAGAGGCCTATTTGCGGCCCATGTGCCAAGTCCTCCCGTGATTGTGTCTTCTTCGACTGCGTATTTCGTCACTACAGTGCCAGCGATCTTGCTGCCAATGAAAGGGGGGTTCCCTATCAGGAGGGGAGACAGACATGGGTCAAAATACCATCTGATCGTAAGCTATACTCCTGTTCTTCTGGTCATTGTCGAAAATTCGAAGGATATGCAGCCAGGGTGGATTGAACAGATGCTAAGATTACCACAGTCATCTTTATCCAGGTTAAAGACCCTTTCGCTGACGATGAGGAGCCAATACTCCTCCTCGACAAGCATTGCTCAATTGCCAGTACACCGATAACTCCTGTTACTGAGCATGGTGTGATTCCGAGTTCTATTCACAGTCCAGGCCGGCCTGCAGAGAATGGGGTTTTGACAACAATCTTGATACGACATTTCAAAGAAGGTCCTAGCCAATGGTATCTCTACCCGTTCAACTGAATGAACGATGAACTGACAGTCCTGACAGGTTAGACTGCTTTGACACTAATGCCTACTACTCCATCAAGGTGCCTGTCATGGTGGCTACGCGGCCCATGTTGAAGGCTGCTGCATGTGCCCTTGCCGCCAAACATCTGCACCGTATGTGCCAGGGAGAACTTCGTCGAATCTTGCGGTTACCCCATCTTCGAAACAGCGCCCTTAAATGGGCCAATGGAGGAATCGACCTGAAATATGAATCGGTACGCCTGTATGACGAGGCTATCGGATACTTGAAAGAAGCGATTAGGCTGGAAATTCCAGACAATCGGCGAGACGAGATGTTCGCTGTTGTTGCCATTCTATGCATGTATGAGTTGATCGATGCTCCCAGCACCGAATGGCGAGCCCATTTGAGTGCCCTGCCATTTTTGTATTGCGGGACACCAGATGATTTCAGTTCGACATCCACTTTGCCAAACTCTCTGCTGCACATATCCCGCTCGGTCTTTTGGAGTCTTGTGCGCCAGGACTGTCTCTCGGCATGTAGGTTATCATTTGCGTCTTTCATCCAATGCGTCCTATTATTAATCGGACACTTATCATGGAAATAGTTATCAATGAGACGCAAACTCGCCTCAACCTCTCCGACCTCGTCATCTGGCGCAACTTCGGCCTTAGCATCTCCGCTCACGGCCATCTCTTGCCCCCATCTGTCTCCTCCACAAATGTGAACACTCCCCTTTCCTCCTCTCCGAATCCTCATACCTCCGTCCCAACACACTTTGCCTGGCTCGAGGAAGATACGCTCAGTAATGCCTTGATTTGGATAATGGGCAAAATTATAAACTTCATCACGAGCGGTGACGGAATCTACCCAGGAGACTATGAAAGCCCACCAGGCCAGCGTCCATGTTTCGGCACTACACAAGAGGACCTCCTGGAACGATGGAAGCGACTTGAGTTCGAACTGAGTGCCTGGTATGACACTTTGCCCGATTCTTTTACCCCGTGTGGTCGTACACAACTATGTCTATCCAATCTTGAACCGACACATCACAAAGGAAACCCAACCCCTACAGAAAACGTCGGAGATGTAGATACAATAGACGCGATCATCTTCACTATCCCCATGTGTGCCGTCACTATCCAGACTTACCACATGGGCCGCATTTTGCTTTTGAGTAATATGCCACAGGAATCCACGGCTATTCGTTCAACTGTCACCGCGCGACTGCGCCATTATCGCCAGATCGCCGGGTTGGTGGTGCATCATGCGCGGGAGATCTGTGGGATTAGTTTGGCTGGATTACCGGATGCTATACTTTCGCATACCGTGCAGCCATTGTTCGTGGCGGGACAGTGCTTCGAGGGGGCCGAGGAGAGGCGGTTAGTCGTTGATCTGCTGCGACGTGTGGAGAGTGATACTGGATGGGCGACAGAGTATCGGGTGAAGGAGTTGCAGAAACAATGGGCGGATGGGGGCTTGCGGTGTGGGAGATAGCCAAACCATTCCAATTGTAGTTTTGCCAAAGAATGCACTTGCGGTGTATCTTGAATAGTAGGGACATGTGATTCGGTAGAAACGCAAATGTGATGCATCTGATGCAATTGGGCGCTGCAGACATGATTCGACGCAGATAGCAAGATTATCATCACCGCATCCTATAGTACAGATAGTGGGGGACCCTCCCACAATGAAGAAATTTTCCCGAGATAAGTCTAGACCCAGTTTCTATTCACCCCACTACGCTTCTTCCCGCGCCCCTCAACTCTTGAACTCACAGGGCAGATAGATAATACCCGATGAAGTGGATCCAAGCATTTAACCACGAGGAAGTCTTCCCGAGAGTAATCTTTCCGAGCCGCCGATTCTCGCCTATCGCGGTTTATCGTGCTGACTGTCTTCGTAGATCACGACGCCTACAGATTTTTAGGGCCCACGAAGATAGTATAAATGAGGGAGTAGGATTTTGGAAATCATCTTCTAGTCAATACATACTTCTAGAGTCATAATCCAACTCCCCTCAGCCTTCAGACAAACATGGCGCTGATACCAGGGCTATCTCGCTATGTCTGGGCTAGTATTCTATGCTCCATGGGGGGCTTTCTTTTCGGGTATGTATATTCTGTTTGTCGCAAAATGTAGCGTCGCAACTTCACAACAAAATGGCTAACCATCAAAACAACTATGAAGGATGGACACCGGCATCATCGGCTCCGTCGTAGTAATGGACCAATTCAAGCAGAAATTCGGCTCCTTCTCATCCATCGTCCATGGTCTAGTAGTCTCCTCCATTCTGATCCCCGCTGCCTTCTCCTCATTCTTCGGAGGAAAACTAGCCGACTGGATCGGACGACCCAAGAGCATCGCAATCGGTGCCCTTATCTTCGGCATCGGATGTGCCTTTGAAGCTGGTGCAGTGCATCTAGCCATGTTCATCGTTGGTCGTGTTGTCGAGGGTCTCGGAGAGGGTCTATACCTGGGGACCCTGGTAGTGTATGTCCCTCACCCCATCCCACTCTAATACTTACAAAGCCAAATATCTAATAGTCAACAAAAGATACATCTGCGAAATCTCCCCACCAAGCCAACGAGGCCCACTAACCACCGGCCCTCAACTCCTCGTCACAATGGGTCTCGTAGTCGGCTTCTTCACGTGCTACGGCTGCGAGAAGATGCCTTCATCCATGGCGTGGCGAACACCATTCACTGTCCTAGCCTGCATTTCCATCGTCTTCAGTGTCGCTGCGCTCTTATGGCTAGTTGATTCCCCGCGATGGCTCACACTTCACAATCGCGTCGACGATGCCACTCGCGCTTGGGAGTATCTGCAAGTAAGCGAGGCCGATCGCGAGGAACTCCTCGAAGAGGAAGAGGAAGTCGACGTTCATGAAGAGGCCCTGACGCATCCGCTCGCCCCGACGGGGAGTGTCCTTGCGCCGAATACCCTCGACCAGGTGGTTTCGCGCCATAGTCGCGTATCTACCCGTCGGACGAAGGGTAAGGGGATGGAAGAAGCCTCGCTGTTCGATGCATTCAAGCCCGATGTGCGTAATCGGACGCTCCTGGGCTTGTTTCTTATGGGCATGCAGCAGATGGCTGGGATCGATGGAGTTTTATACGTACGTTTCACCCTTCCTATTTACTATCTTGACCATCTATTAACATGCAGAAGTATGCACCCATGCTTTTCGAACAAGCCGGCATGACCTCCTCCCAAGCCAGTTTCCTCGCCTCCGGCGTCTCCGGCCTAGTCATCTTCGTAGTGACAATCCCGGGCCTCATTTACGCCGACTCCTGGAGCCGGCGTGCAAACGTCATTCTCGGCGGTCTGGGACTCACCATCGCCATGTTCGTGATCGGGTCGTTGTATGCTGCCGATGCAGTACACCATTCAACCGGCGCAGGTCGCTGGGTCGTCATCGTCGCGATTTATCTTTTCGCTGCTATTTATAGTGTCTCGTGGGGTGTGAGTTGCAAGGTCTACGCGGCGGAGATCCAGCCCCAGCGGACGAGAGCGAGCGCGACGTGTCTTGCGCATGGGAGTAACTGGGTGTCGAATTTCTTTGTGGCATTGATTACGCCCGTACTATTGGCGAAGAGTAGCTGTGCGGCGTACTTTTTGTTTGGGGGTTGTACGGCGCTGACGATTGTCGTTTGTGGGTTTTATATGCCCGAGACGAAGGGACGGTCGTTGGAGGAAGTGGAGAGGTGTTTTGTGAGGGGGAAGGAAGATTCATAGATTTGCTGGGTGGAGCGAGTTGATGGTAATGACTGATGATAGATGCTAGATATGTCAATAGACTGATAGAGCTTGGTTCACGGACAATGATGTCTCCCTTCTTGTCTGAAAATGAATATCGAAGGTTATACTGCTAGTACTTCAACTTTGTCCGGTGGCCTGACCATCCTCCTTTATTGTACCACATAGGGAAGTTGGAAGGCCAAGAGATGGAATCTACTACGGTTCAGTACATGGGCGATGCAGTATATAGCGGTAATCAGTATGATAGAACTACACACTTCCTCGAGACTCATATATTATACTATGTCCAGACAAATCCTCGACTTAGAGTGTTCTATTACATTATATATCATCTCGTATAGTACATACACGCAGTCACTAATTCCCAGTAGCTTTCGCATACATATCCCTCGTATGCTCCCACACCTTCTTACCCACTCCACTACCTAAATACCCCTTGACCAACTCAGACTTCGCTTTGACAATAGAACTATCATAATCCACCCGATACGCACCACTTCCTTTCGCGCCATCAGTACCCACAGTATCCACCCCCTTCACCCGTGGCGCGAACAACGGACTCGTAGCCGCATACGCATGCCTTTCTCCCGATTCCTTGACAGAAATAAGTCCAACCGACGACAGAAGGGGCGTCAGTACAAAAAGAGCATTAGTGAGTCCCCTAACAAGCGGGTTGAATTCACGCGTGACGTTCGTGTTCACGGCGCCAGGACGGCTGTGTACCCAACTGATGTTCGGATGTGCCGCGGCAAGTTGCGCCATGTAGAGAGATGTCATGGTGCAGCCATGGGCGGCTGCATTTGAGAGACTGTAGTTATTGCGGAGATCGAGGTCATTTTCGATGAGCTTGCCTTCGTTTCCTGGGCTGAAGACGGAGACTACGCGGGCTAGGCGGTCTGATGAGGCGGCTTGGTTTAGAAGTGGGAGGAGGTTGTCGGCGAAGCGCATTCGGGCGTAGTAGTGGAGGCTGAGTTTGCGGTCGAGGCCTTCGGGTGTTTCTATTTCATGTTGAGTTGGTGTGAAGGGATGGGTGAAATGGGGTAAGTACTCACCAGTCCTTCCCTGAGTGGTCAAGATACCCGCACTCAGGAAGAGAAGGTTTACTTTTGACTCCTTCTGAGCGATCTCGCGACATGTGGTGTCGACGTTCTTGAGTAGAGAGATATCACTCTTGATGAAGTCTATTGTTGCGGATTGATTGACGGTACGTAGTTCTGAGATAATCTCCGATGCTTGAGCTTCGTTGCGTCCGATCAGGTAGATATGGGGAGCTGTCGCATAACGAGTGAACTCCCTCGCTGTCGATAGACCGATTCCGCTGGTTCCGCCGACTGCTTGTTGTTAGCTAGATTTTAGGATGGCATAGTCATACTCATACCGAACACAGCAACCAGACCCGATCCCAGGTTCTTGATATTGGGTAGCTGCCCGCGGACCTCTGAAATGGCAACCATGTTCACAGTTATCTGTCGGGTTTGTGTCGAAATTTGTATTATTATTAGGGAGACGGATGCGTTGCTATCCAATATGCTGATTGTGATGAAGATTTAAGCCATCAGTTCAGTTTTCTTTGTCGCGTTAAATAGCTGGCTAGGAGATGATTGTGGCTAACGTCAGCCACGGCCCGGCTGACCAAATCCGGCAGATGGCTGAAGTCAGCCACTGCGGAACCCTCACTATATTTGCTGTCATCCTGGAAAGGATCGTACACTTTCCATGTTTGACTCTTTACATCTGCTGTCTCCTTCTGCTGGTATTAGGTTAGGCAGTTGATTATCATGTCGAGGCCCACCCAGCGAGGTCAACGCTATCAGCTCAATATATATTCCGCCGATAGACTTGCCAACCATCCGTTATCGGCCCTTTCAGTACTAGTACTACTTTGTGTTCCAGCACAATGCATGGGATGAAATTCTACTACGATTAGTACAATAGATCACGAAAAGTGGTCCAGCAACAATTTCAACCATCAATAACATGCACATAGGCTACACCGTGATGTTGTGCATTGGTAGCCAAGTAACCTTAATCGTGAGCATATCTGTACTAGGGTGGCACAAAAGCATCAACTTACGCCGAAACGGTAGTTTATCAAGCTCATTGCAACCGAAAGGATCTTATCATACGATAAGTCGGCTTGGCATGAGGGGTACCCCGTACAATCGGCCGAGGTGCGAGTGTACATGGCATATAAATCCCGAGAGCTCCCTGCATGCAAATCCCGGAGATCCTCCCCAGTTTTAACATTGCGAGTTCTTACAACCCCGCTATGTCTTCTCAAGTACGCGTCGCAGTTACCCAGGCTGAGCCTGTCTGGCTAGACTTGGAAGCGACCGTAAAAAAGACGTGTGATCTTATTGTGGAAGCAGCTGCAAATGGCGCTCAGTTGGTTTCTTTCCCCGAGTGCTGGATCCCGGGATATCCTGCCTGGATTTGGTGGGTACAACTGCACCGTATGGCATGAAGCATAGAGACTGACAAACGATTATCGGTCTGTAAAGGACACGACCAGTTGACATGGGCCTGTCATCTACTTATATACAAAATTCCCTGAAGATTGATTCCCCACAGATGGCCAGCATCCAGAAATGTGCAGCGGAGAATAAAATAGTCGTTGTTTTGGGCTTTTCTGAGAACCTACATAACTCGCTGTATATCTCGCAGGCTATTATTGGAAATGATGGGAAGATCCTCACCACCCGCAAGAAAATCAAGCCGACTCACATGGAGCGGACCGTTTTTGGCGACTCGTTTGGTGACTGTCTGCAGAGTGTAGTTGACACGTCGGCCGGTCGCGTCGGTGCTCTATCCTGTTGGGAGCACATCCAGCCTCTGCTAAAATATCACACTTATGCCCAGAGGGAACAGATTCATGTTGCCGCGTGGCCGCCTCTGTTCCCTCACAGCGAAGACGGTTCCTTGTTTTCGATGTCCAGCGAGGGTATGGATGCCAACTGGACGAGGTACACAGATGGAATGCTAACAAGTCTCCTCTCAGGTACCAGTTCCATTGCGAGGACATATGCTATCGAAAGCCAGTCTTTTGTCCTTCATACCACGACAGTGATAGGCCAGTCGGGTGTTGACCGAATGGCAACACATGGTGGTGCTCTGATGAGCACCCCTGGCGGAGGCTGCTCCGCCATCTTCGGGCCTGACGGCCGCCAATTATCGCAGCCCATTCCCAGCACAGAAGAGGGCATTATTTACGCCGACCTCGACTTGGATCAGATATACCACTCCAAAGCCTTTGTAGATGTCTGTGGACACTATAGCCGACCGGACCTTCTGTGGCTGGGTGTGGAGGGCAGTGTCAAGCGCCATGTAAGGGAAAATGCAGCGACTGTGGCAGGAAAAGCGGAACAGCAGGAGCAATGAGAGTTTAGCTTTCAGAATATCTCTAAGAATCAGGATATCCTGATTCTCTACCCTGCTTGACAGCGGAATCCTGGGTAGCTGAGAGCAAGCCGGAAACACACTCTTAATGTCCGCTCTGCACCTGTAAATAGCGAAAGTCCAAGCACTCATGTCGTATCGATGATGAGGATTAAATGCTGGAACTCAGTAGGGGAGACTTGCACCGCCCTGACAGCCACTTCTGATTGGCCGTTTCTAGGTCTACTGGAGTCTCGGTCCTCCGAATAGTTGATTAGTTACTGATCACTGGGTGATAATGATTACAATAGGATATATTTCTTATCTATTATTTCCCTCAGATGGCCACCTTCTTGAGACCTATGGCCATTGATCTAACAATATCAGTTACATGGCAAAAGATTAGCACGCAAGGGGTGAGCCCATGCTGGGGACCTAGATAGCTGCTTGCAATTCGGGAGGACTGGATTTTATCCAATGAAACTTCGCGGTTATAACTACTACATAAATCATTTGGGCCGTGCGCTCCAGCCTCCGCCACAGCAAAATGTACTTGCTTTTGGTTGGAAAAGGCTACTAGTACTGACCGGCATCCGGTGGAACATCTCTGATTCGTTGCGTAGATGATACGGCTCTGCAATTTAGGTAGTCACGAACAAGGATCTATAGCCTTGCAGTGCACTGATAAGGCTCTCAGCCTTGCTAGTCTCTCCTTAAATCTCTTGCTTACCTCCACCCTGCCACTGTGTCACACCCATCAATAACTTTCTGTACTGACGCTTCAGAATGCCACCCAACGACGCTGACCAGCGACAATATCCTGCATACGAACCACTACATAATGAATACGACGACCCCGATACATTATCGAGTATTACTGATGCCGCGACGAGGCAAGATCTTGAAGGGCACGAAGACTCGGGGTTACATGCTGTGTCGCCTTCTCCGAACACACCAGATGAGAATGATGAGTCAAAGTCCGATACGACCTCACACTCCCCGACGTTAGGAGAGCCTTCCAACTACAAAGACGAGAAGCCGAATGGCCCTGAAACAGTCTCAGTCAGGCGCTATGTATCTAGCTGGTTTTGCTGGGAACTTATAGGCATCATTGTTTCAGCGGGCCTCCTAGCTGCGATAATCATCATACTGAAGGTTTACGATCATCAACCTCAACCGAAATGGTGGCACATCTCCCTGAATTCAGTCATCTCTTTTCTCAGTACACTTTCTAGAGCCAGTCTCATGTTTTCTGTCGGGGAGTTGATTGGGCAGCTCAAGTGGGTTTGGTTTGCTCAGCAGGAGCAACCTTTATTACATCTGCAGTCTTTTGACTCAGCCAGCCGGGGTGCTTTGGGAAGCCTAACATTAATATGGGCCTTGCGTGTCCGGCACTTCGCAGGAGTTGGTGCTTTAGCCATGGTTCTTGCCTTGGGTTTTGATCCCTTTTCGCAACTCCTAATACATACCTATGACAAGCTGGTTGTAGACCCATCAGGGACTGCACTGATCGGTAATGCTACGGTATACGACACCATAGGACAATTAGCGTACGATAAGGGTATGTATATAGACTGAAGTATCTCCATCTACTAAAACACTGTGGCAGGGAGTACTGATGACAATATACAGAAACATTGCTTGCATACGTTGACCCTGTGCTGAAGGCAAATGTCTACAATTCTCTCTTCAACACGGATCCAACCCGGCCGTGGGCCATTCCGCAATACTCCTGCTCCTCAACCAACTGTACCTGGGATGCGATTGCTTCGCTCGAGATGCGGTCTCTTTGCAGCAACATCACTAGTGCACTAATAATCAACTGCTCTACCTTTTCCAATGAATCAGTATACGCAGGAGACAGCAACTGCAATGCCACTCTACCAAAAGGCGGGCTCTCGGCCTCGTATATCCCAGGTGACTACTCATTTACCACTCTCTCAATGAAGTCAATCTTAGCTTATGACGCGGTGGTATATACCAATGCTACATTATTTGCAATTCAATACATAGCCCCTCGGGCCAGTCTGGAGCTGCTCGACGATAAACCCTGGGCGAATAGCACGCAGTGGGAAGCTACCGAGTGTTCCTTGGAGCCCATCGTGCGCAGCTCTCGTCCTAAAATCTTCCATAACAACTACAGTGATAAAACGCAGGCGATCTGGATTCAGCATGATTGGACTACAACGCATAATGTGCATCAGTCTGCAGGCCTTAACCTCACCCCTGACTCTTGGGGGCCTGATCTTGGTGTGCACCAAAACCCTCAATCTTTCATACTCAGTGGTGATGCCAGAGAGTCGATATATTCCTTCCTAGCCGCCCTCTTCTCGGGCCAGGCAACGAGGTCTGGGACGGAAATATTTTTCGAACCGGTGGATGCTAGCCGGTATGCTGCCTCCGACACGCTCCAGGCGCTGGCCGTGGCAAATATTAGTGGGTGCAGTGAGATTCTTTCCGAACGGCTGTCCTGCGCGATGGACAATGTGGCTGCTGCCATGTCAAAAACCTTCCGGGATGCGGCTTACGTTACTGATCCCGCATCGGCTGCCATGACGACGGGGAGTGCAAAAGTCAGTGAAGTCTATATTGTGGTATACTGGGCCTATCTGGCTTTACCAGTCCTTGTCTGGACTTTGGGGGCCATCTTGGTGCTCGGTACGCTCTGGAAGACTCGCCGCGCTCGTGTGCCCGCTTGGAAAAATGACACGCTGCCATTGCTGTTTCTGTATGGGAACAAAGATGAGGGCATGGACTTGCCGCAGGGAAGCGAGACTGAACAAGCAAGCCGTCATGAGCTGGTACGATTGTACAATGACGAGAGTCGAGTGTTTCTTGGTAGGTGTACGGATAGCAAGTCCCAGCGTCCTTAAGTGGCTGCTGCTCTTTCTCCGACCATATTTCAACTAACCCCATCATTGGACTGTGTCAGCACCATAAACTCAGTTTACTCGACACTGGAACACCAGTTATTGTGAGGCTAATATACTTCTACCCAATCACATATAAAATGATCTGTCTACAAACATAGCTTGTAATCTACGTACTCAAATGGCCGTGGTCAATCTTAAGTAGTTGC